TTTGTGCATTTCTGAACACAACTATGCTTCATAATATGATCAGCAGGTTTCAACTAGTTTTGTTGTCTCTTACTAGTACTGTTTGGATATTTTTTGTGTAACGCCAATCTTCATTACGATTGCTTGAAAAATCCTTGGGATTTTAAGAAAAAATGTCTCCAAAGATGAAATGCAGTATTGTAAATGTTTGAGTAAATAAATCGATAAAATAATACAAGTATACTACATGTTTTACTGTACTGTAGTAATAAAAACTGTATTGGATATAGTTTGATTTATATATTTATGTAACATGCATACATTTGCAGTAATGAAATTAGGCAACATCTGTTGATATAAATAATGAATAGGTCTAAGCTTGTATCTCAGTTAATCAGAATTAATTGTGGTTGTAGTAAACAAATGTTTTACTATTGTTCACCATAAATCAAACCTAACAAAAGGTGTGTCACAACCTTTAGTAGATCCAGTTCTATTTCAAATAATAAATTTATCAAGGCTGGGTTCCTAATTATACTAATGAATGATCAAAAAACCTCAAAAACCTATGAATTTTTTTATTCCTATTTTCTGATAGGACACGATATTCACAACCAGAATGTCTCAGTTTTGAATCCTGGTATCTTTGATAAGCTTGATAATTATACTAATGAATGATCAAAAAAAACAAAAAACCTATGAACTTTTTTCTGATAGGACACGATATTCACAACTAGAATGTCTCAGTTTTGAATCCTGGTATCTTTGATAAGCTTGCAAATTATCATTTTTTTCCCCATACAAATGAACTTCAGCCCATTATTCAAATTCTTTCAGAATACACCTGCCTCGACACAATCCTTTCTCCCTTACTTAGAAAATGAAATTACCAGTGTTATGCTCAAAATGAACAAATTATTTGGTTGATATGAAACTCCATTTTTGTCTTTTTGTTTCCTTCGGTCAAAATGATCATCTAGCTGTTGATGGAAAAACCTGTGACACAGTTTAGGAAATTTACAGCTATTAACTGGTACCACAACTCAGATACGACCTTTAAATGTATTGATGAATGAGGAAATAAACTAACTGAAGTAGTAATTGATATGGTTAAATGGTATAGAATCTTGTAGTAGAGTACTATTTAATAACTGTAACATTCATTATATGTAGGATATAATTACAACCTGGTGTGTTAAATAACAGCGATGCTGGACAGTAGTAATATTAATAGAACATTGTGCCCTAATAGTAGTTGTACTTTGTAGTACAAATACCAGAAAGTAGTATAAAATGCAATACACATACATTTGAAATTAAAACACCTCTGAGGATAATTAGTTTCATTTTCAGCACCCCCAGAACATTTAGCTTAAAAAAGAAAGAAGATATTTGTCACTTAGTACTAGTAGTTTGATATTACACAACCCTTTCTTTTCAAGAACTATAATAAACTATAAGATTGTTAAGTTACCTAAGGTGCATGTTGTCCTACTGGGAGCCATGGTCTTTGAGGGAGTAAGATGTTGGCTCGCTAACTTGGAGGTCCTGTGTTCAATCAGTGTGTTAACCATGAAAGTTCATCTGGATTTTCTGACATTGTTTATTCTTGTCAGATCTTGGAAAGGGACAACGGATAGTCATTCAGATGGCACGAAAAATAGAGGTCCTGTGTACACGTTGGGATGTACGTAAAAGAACCCCTGGCAGTTGCAATTTTATAAATTAAGGCTAAAGTCATTAATGGGCTTGAATATTCTAGGGAATGTTGGTATGTTCGGATGCTGTGTCTATTGACTTTTCCTTATTATTCGGGGGGGAGGGGGGTGTAGATGGTCAACTGGCGTGGTACCGATTCCCAGGTGAACCTTGTGTGTTTTCTCCAGGCCCTCCGGTTTCCTCCCACTGCTAAAGACCCCTAAGCGCAAGCTAATTACTGAAATAAAATTGAACCATATGTTAGCCCCAAAATGACCTAGCTTGTGTCAAGTGGATGTTAAACCCCATTACTCTCTCTCTCTCTCTCTCTCTCTCTCTCTCTCATTATTTAGAGTTATTACCCTTGATCAAGCTCAACAGTCTTGTGGACACACTAGAGACTAAAGCGATCATTTGTGTAACAACCTTTATGGACATACCTAACTGCTCTGGTCAACCTGTATTTCAGGATGCTGTTATTATTAGATTAATCTTATAAACTATGTCTACAAACCTACACCTACACCTACCAATAACCATAACATTGTAATTATAATCAATATCGTGATTCATAAGCTGTATAGTGTTTGTCTACAATTATTTTTTTTATATTGATATATTATACCTACCGGTACACAACTAGGTCAATATATATTGTATTAAAGTAAATTTAGCTGAAATAACACTCTATGATTTGCTGTAAGTTCCCAAATTTAAAATACATTAACTGATGATATATTATTTGTTTCTCCTTGCTTATGATACAGTGCATACAAAACAGTACATTTACTTTACAAGTCCATAAATAAAAGTTCAAAAGAACTGCTTTGGACCATCTTCGCCAAGTATCAGATCACCTTCTGATAAGATTCAAATGTGTAGGGTTTTGAATCCATAACTTTTTAAATTATATTACCAAAAAACTATTGGTGGAAAAGACTTTGTACACACATCCCTAGAGAGTTTGGGGGTAGGGTATTAAAAAAAGTACATGGGTATTGAACATTATCTAGGGAAAGTACACCCATTAGGCTTTAAAAGTCATTTATACGATCATTTCTTTCAACATTCGCAAAAAGTCACTCATTCAATTTCGTAAACATCTTTATATCAAATATGACAAGAGCAATAAACAATTGTGCATGCTAGTAGTTTTGCTGTGTACTCTGGGTTTTTCGTGTCTCGTTTGAAGCCCCTGGTCTCCCAGAGTGCCTTAAAGTTCCTGTGAACAGACTTGGAGGCCTGTTCCTGTTCACTACATTGGCTAAGACCCCAGGCTAGTGTTCTGCACTGGGAAAGTCCGGTATTGAGATTTGGTTCCGACTTCCATCTCTCCAGAAACCGGTCGATCTGGTCAAAAATAGCATGAACAATTGCTCGTCACTGGAATTCCTAGCTCATTATATGAATTACGAAAGTTATCATCTGATATTTATGAAATTTATATTTTATCATTTAAATTACTGATTTGGTTCAGGCGTTCATCTCTCCAGAAACCGATTGATCTGGTCAAAAATAGCATGAACTTTTGCTCGTCACTGGAATTCCTAGCTCATTATATGAATTAAGAAAGTTATCTCATCTGTATGAAATTTTTATTTTATCAATTAAATTAGTGAAACAAAGAATCTTATTGAATTTCAGCAATTTCCGTTAATTTCTTCTAGAGTTTTGACCCTTGTTTCACTATGTTGCACTTTGTGAACGCTCCAACGACAAAAAATTATCATCTGATCTGTATGGAATTTGTATATCATTTAAATTATTGAAACAAAGAAGCCTTTTGAATTTCAGCAATTTCTTTTAATTACTTCTAGAGTTATCGCCCTTGTTTAACTTTGTTTAACCTTGTGAACACTCGAATGATGAAAGGTATCATCTGATCTGTATGGAATTTATACATTTAAATTAATGAAACAAAGAAGCCTGTTGAATTTCAACAATTTCTAATAATTACTTCTTGAGTTATGGGACTCGTTTTACTTTGTTGAGCAATGTGAACGCTCGAACAACAAGTTATCATCTGATCTATTTGAAGTTTCTGTAACAAAACGAAAAAGGCTGTTGAATTTCAACAATTGTTGTATATTACTTCCAGAGTTAAGGCCTTTGTTTCAGTTTGTAGCACCTTGTGAATCCTCAAAAGGACAAAAATTATAATCTGAAGTGTATTGTCTTATAAATGCTCCTATTCCCTACAAAAGATTAAATATGTGACAACCCTTGTTGACCGCTCTGACGATTTAACTGCTGTGGGCGTATGTTTCATTGCCTGGCAACCTATCTTTGGTGTATGCCCAACCCCCAGGGTCAGAGCCACGCTCATTTTTATACGTCCACATTTACAGGCAGCAATTTTAATGGATCGTCTTGAAAACTTTTCATACTTTTTATTCCTTATACTTATACCCTAAGTATGACCTCTATTATTCTTGGTGCATGCTATAGGCCACAATTCTTAACAGATCCAATTTTGTGTGTCTTTGTGTCGGCTATAGGCCACAATTCTTAACAGATCCATTTGAACCTTTGCTTACCTATTTCTTAAACCCTTAGGATGATACCTAGTGTTTTTGGTTAATACCCAACCCCCAGGGGCTGAGCCACACCCATGGTTCGTCTTGGAACTTGGTATATGTATTCCTTATAGCCTAGGGATGACAACTATTGATTATGGTGCATGCCCTGACTCCCAGGGGCAGAGCCAGTGGCCAATTTTTGTATCGTATACTGGCCGCAATTCAAAGCAGGAATGTGGACGTATATTGCAGCGGTAGTGATGCTCCTGTTATCAGATTTTGACGAAACTTAACATAGGTAACCCAAAGATCTCTCTTCCTTTGGCATGTATTGGACCTTAACTTACAGGATTTTTTTAGCTTGTTCTCTGTACATCTCTTACAAAATGTGGGCATATCTTGCATGATTGTGGCAGAAGATAGAACTGTATCGAATTACATTTTTAGATTGTAATACTTGAATAAGTTTTGCCAGTGTTGTCCAAGAAAGTTCATCAGGATTTTCCAGGGCCTGACAAGGACAGCTGTCTAGTCATTCGGACGGAGCAAAAAAACAAAGTCCTGTGTACACATTGGCATGCACGTAAAAGATCCCTTGGTGGTTGGAATTCGATATACAAATATAAGAGCAGGCTGTAGCGCCGCTGTCTGGGCAAAATTTCCTTCATAGCACCCTGTATGATGTATGCCCGTCTTCATTAGCCCAGTTTCATATCATTTCTTTGAATGCCCTGTGTTTTATTTCATCAATGTGTGTTGTATGTTATGTTGATAACTTTTAATTTTTTTTTTATTTATTTTCAGTTATTGAACAAAATATAGAACAAGAAGAACATTCGAACAAATCATCAGCTGATTTAAGAATTCGTAAAACACAGGTAAAATTATAGATTTATAATGACAATGAAATTCCATTTTGACACACAACATAAATAGAACCACTACACACAACTTGACACAAGACTTACAAACTTGATCTACAACAAATTTCAACCCCAAAAATGACCTAAAGTAATATCAGACATATGACCATAGTCACAAAATAATCTTTTATACAGCTACAAATTATTTTTAGTAAGCACATAGAGATAAGCCTACAATTACACCACATATCAGTCCGTTACACAATTGTACATTTTTCCAACAATAATTTCTAAATTATCTCAAGCTAGCACTCATTATAATCAAGACTTCCTTCACAAATAAAAATAGTAATTCATCCATCCATATTTACAGCATGAGTGATCTATCTTTTAATGATGTTGATGACAAATAAATTATCAGCCTATATAGTATAATACAGGTAGATACAATTTGAGGTCATATTCCTGGTTATTGTATCGATTCAACCAAGCCTTCTTTTGTAATTTTGTAGTTACTAATACTACCTATTTAAATAAACATTTCATGTCAACAGTTAAGCGAAAAGAATTTTTATAAACCAGGATAACAAGAAAAAACCTTGTAGTCAATGGAAAATCAATTAAAAGGCCAGTGAATTGATCCTCAAATTGATCTGGACTTATTTTCATTATAGACCCACAAGATTTGTTTACGTTCACAGGCCTTATTCTTAAAAAAAAAAAAAGAAGAACATTGAGCAAAGAGCTAAAATATTAACATTCATCTAATGGAAAGATGAAATCCTTCAAATTTTTATAGTATACATTGAGAATAAAAAAATTTAAACAAAAGTAATTTTCTTTGAAAGATTGTCAAATGTCAGTACCATTTAGGTAAGAATTTTCACCTCAACCAAATGTCCAAATGAGGTCTTAAGCAAAAATGAATAAAACTGAAATTGTCTATGAGTCTGTGGCACAAAGTCAGTGTGAACAGAGACATGACAGCACATGACTCATACCAGACTTCACTATGGCCTCTAAGTTCTATTACATGAGTACTTATAGCAATTAATTATAACAGTTCTCAGTCTACAATATTCTAAACATTTTTATTGTTGTCTTTTTTTGTCTAGAATCGAATTTTAATACTAATAGTAGTAATAGGTTGTTGTTAGGATAGAGGGGTCAGTCATGAATTTAAAGTTTATTATTAGATTGTTTTTAGTACCAATATTTTGTGTACTATTACTACTATGGTCTATTAAGAATGTATTGTAATATGTGCTGGAATCTTTGTTCAATTATTAAGAGATTAGAATACTATGTTATTGTATTGATTTATTGATTATTGGGCTTTTCTCTCTCTACAGCATTCTGCCATATTCTCTTATTAATTACTGTCTTGAGTTCAGCGAGAAATATTGAAAGTAACTTGTTACAACATGACCAATATTTACTTGTAGTTTCTATCTGGTTACATTAGTACACAACTTACGGCTTAGTACCATCATCACACTGATATTGTATAGATTCTGCTAATGATAAAATGGTTAGTCTGACCTTCCATGTTCAATAAAAGCATAAAAGTTTTATTTGATAAATGGTTTTATGCTGAATGATACATTGTCCTTGAAAAACACAATAGATATAATACATTATAGATGAGAGAAGATGTTCGAATAGATTACATGTGTTTGGAGATTTTATGAAATCTTAAATTAATAAAGGGACAACTTAAATTTATAAAGGAACAACTTACAATTAAACACTGATTTTAAGATTATAAAATAAAATAACATTCTGTATTCTGCTATCAATAAATAAGGATCAAGCCTAATAAAATTAAATTTTTGCAGAAATATGAATTATTACCACTGTCATTGATATCTTGCACATTCAGACTTTTTCAAGATTTAAAAGAATTGTTGTGATTGTTTGGTTAAAAATATTTAGTTTTTGATATCTGGGTTTATGTGGCGAATAATTTCACAATAAGTGACCATCAACAACCCATTGACCTTAGCTTACTCTCACAGACAAACATTGTTGAAAATGTTTGAAACCTTAGAATTTGTTAACTTCTTGTGATTGTTAAAATACATTCAAATGGTTTATATGATTATTTCTTGAATAAACCTCTCAGCTAGTCTGAACAAGCCAACTAGATATGCTTGGCTTGAATAATCTGGCATCATGTCCTTTTTTATTTGATCTTTGATAGTTTATTTTGTAGATGATTAGAATTCTTTCCAAATTATCAACATATCATTTGGTTCGTTCTATAAGTTTTTGTGTCTATCCAAATTCAATATTTGTTCCCAGTCCCAAAAAACTTACCAGGACTTGCTTTATTAAGGGTATCATAATATAGGATGTAGGTGGTAAAGAATTAAATAATAGCCTTTTATAATCTAGATTTGTATTATTTAAATGTCTCTACTTTTGCATTGGATGGAATATATTCATTTGCCTGCAGTGCTTTAAGCTGAATATTCTTGGTAATTCTTGTCTGCTAGATTACAAGATTAGTTTTATTTTTACTATTATTACGGTATGCACTCATGTTATACTTTATTTGCGATCAGTAGGATATCTGTACTACTCACACAATCACCACCTCTATATATAGACATCCTACTTAATACTAATACGTCTCTTGCTACACAGCCCAAAAAATCAATGAAATGAATGAACATAGATAACATTTATCAACCAGCTTACTAAACAAAATCAGCAAGTCATCTCAACGTAAGGTCAAACATCACATCATTTTATATGGTATTGACCAGATATTGACCAATCAGAAGAGTGGGATATTCTATAACTATCTATTAAACCAATGAGAACTGAGTGTCAATATTGAATGTTCTTGATATATCCACGGGAGGTAGTTTGATCGTATTAACCAATTAGCGCAAATTAGAGAATCCGCAGTATTGAACATGTTACGAGTTGCTATAGCTAGTTATCATTGCCTGGGTCACACATAAGACTGAGGTGAATATGTTGGGAAAGAGTGTTTACACATGAAATAAAACATCAAATTGTACACTGACAGATGTAAACTGATTGATTATTCAATGTCAATAGGCATAGGTTCTTTTTTGAGCAAGTAAAAAGATTAAATTTATTTTGACTTGGCATATTTAGTAATCACTAATCATCTGTCAGTTTCAAAACAGACAATCCACACGAGCTGTAGGCTGGGGCAAATAAGAAAGAACTGAATGATTATGGAAAACGGCTTTTTGCACTAAACTTGAGACAACAGTATCACATCGAGACTGCCTGTTGCTCCTGCCCCTTTCAAAAAACACAAGGATGCAAGGAGAATGGCTATTGTAATGCCATTGTCAAAAATACCACACTGACCCATGCCAACCAATGAAATAAGCAGCAGGTATCTAAAGAATAATCTCATGCTATTATTAGTATTAGTGGATAGATGTTATTAATATCATGTTCCTCATGATTTTAATAGATACATACATTATGGTAATAAAATTCACACCAATTAGTATATCAAAACACATATCATTACTACATCAAAACTAAGATTATATCAACAATATACATTATGAAATATAACTAAGACACTTCAACATGTATATAGCATTACTACATAAAATTAAAACAATATGATTTGTAGCCTCAGTACATGAAAACGAAGATACATCAACGATATACAATATAGCATCAAAACTAAGAAGGGGGGTTGGATGGCTGAATGGTTAGCTTGCGCGCGCTGTATCATAAAGTCTGTCATTGAGTCGACTGGCGTGGTTTCGAATCCCCGGTTGTACGTGGCAAGGAGTAGGGTCGCCTGTCCAACCTCGTGGGTTTTCTCCGGGGCCTCCGGTTTCCTCCCACTGCTAAAGACCCCTACGCGCAAGCGAATTATGTAAATAAAATTAAACCATATGTTAGTCCCGAAATGACCTAGTTTGTGTCGAGTGGACATTAAATCCCATTTCTCTCTCTCTCTCAAAACTAAGATACATCAACAACGTACATTATGGTATTAGTACATAAAAACTAAGATGCATCAACAATATACAATTATAGCATTAATATCTCACAACTAGTAAGACGCATCATAATAAACATTATCACTTCATTATATCAAAACAAGATACATTAACTTGATAAACAATAAACATTATTCCATTACTACCTACATGAAAACTTAAGATACACCAATAATATACTTTAGATTTCTTTTCAGGAATAACTGGACTTTATTTAACTTACCAAGCTTTATAATTGTTACACAGAAATCTAAAGGAATAACTGGACTTCATTTAACTTAAGCTTTATAATTGTTACACTGAAATCTTCTTTTACAAAGCCAGATACCGGTACAAGTTATTAAATCCCATATTTACATGGAAATGAAAACTTTTGGCTTGCTTTTCATAATATCACAGAAATTAAGTGTTATGATGCCACATGTAAAAAAGTTAGGATTTACTTTATGATAGTTTTAAAATCCAGTAAGGCATTAAAAAACCAAAACCATTTTATTCCTGGAAATTGTTGCTTGTTTTAGTAATAATGAAAATGTATCCTGTTGTTTTTGTTTTTTTTAGCTTATCCAGAGAGGGAAACCCTATGTGCATAATCTATTTTTTTTTGTTTTGTAATGAATATAGTGACAAAGGACATTTTGCTGCAGAAAAGCCTGATAAGGAATATTTTTGTTGAATAACTTCATTAAAATATTGGGATTTAAAAAAAAGTTTTCATAAATTTCAGCACAAAATACTTGGATGTTTTTTTTAGAGGAATGCTTTTTTATATTTATATGTATATTCATGTTTCAGCTTCCATTAAGAATTGGTATTAAATACATACCACAAGATTATTTCATAATGATGCATGATTTTGCAAAAGATGCATGCGAGGTTTAAACATGTTGTGCAAAACACACATCCTACATTCCCCAGTCCTACTGATTCAAAGCAATTTGTTGGCTGCAATTTGGCACATCATCCTCCTTGTATTCTCTTGTTCTTCCCTAATCCTGCTACTGTGTGTATATGTAGCTGGATTACTGTCAATTCCTCTAACTTATGATCATCTTGGCATTATCATGATCTGAAACATATCTACCCTTGGAGGAAGTGTCTCGTTACTGCACATTTCAATGGTTCCTTATGCTTACAACTGAGAAAGATGAATGGATACAAATGAACTGCAGTTCAAGGTTATTCATTTTATTAATGCACTGTAAAATGTGTTTGATTTAATGATATTGTAATTTATTGTTTAATGGTGATTCTTTCTATCTAACCTACAGTAATCCTGATGCACTTCCTTTCTAACAGTCACAATCAAACATTGCAATCAATATAACTGTAATATTCATTGGAGTACACATGCTAGGAGGATCTATTCAATAATTGATTTATGGAAATTATGTTATAAGGGAAAGACATTTGAATTTGCCAATTTTGCAAAAAATATCGTGTATGATCTGATCAGTACAAAAGGAAAAGAGACAGAAAATTTAATTTAATTAATCAATTTTTAAGCTCAGCAGGTTGGAAGTAATCATGTCATCACTTCTGTCATAAACAATTAGTCAATTTCGACTTTTTCCAAACCAAATTTAAAGGAGAATACTACTACAAAAAGTTGTTGTTTTTTTCATATGCAAAATAATGTTAATATTAGAATATTTTTGGCCCTGCAAAATTTTAAAAGTCACTCTGAATACTTTTAGAAAGAAAAAATATACCCCCCCCCCCAAAAAAAAAAAAGAATTGACATTTATGCATATCTGCTGCATCGTTTGATTTTGTCTGTGAGTGACATTGTGAATTTCCCCATAGAAGGCTATTGCAACTGAGCACTGCATCCTGTCATTTTGACTAACTGGAAGCATAAACATAGTCATTTGCGTTGCTTTGGGATGCACTAATGGCACCAACAACAAATCAGGAAGCATGTGTCATTTTTTTAAGAATTTCTAAGCGAGACAACACGCAGAACGGTCTGGACACAGCGATGTCAACTAGGCAAGCATTTCGGTTTACCTGCTTACAAAAGTGACCAGTGCAATTTTAATAGTATTATTATATCAATCATGACATATTATGTTATCTTTTATTTTAAAACTGTGCATAGTTCTATGGTGAAACCGACACGCTTTCAAAATCTAGCAATAGAAATGACTGATAAACATAGCAGTGAAATGTAAACAACACAGCTAGGTAGGCCTAGCCTAAATACTAATGTAAATTAATATCCCCTTTTCGAAGCGTCTACCGCGTCAGTAGAAGGTGTAGGCTTATGTCGATGATTTTGCAGTCGATCATAGATAGTCCTAGATGTAAGAAGTCCGTCAGATTTACCTAGGTAAATGAGTGTGATAGAAAAAATTTTCACCGATACTTCGATAGTCCTTTGTGACCCTCGTTTTTCAATTGTTACACAAAGAAAGTAGTCTAGGGCATATAGTACCGTATAACCCTACTGCTAGGGTAGACTTATTGGAATTACTGTGATAAGACAAGGTAGGCTTATGCTGTTTTTAGTGCCTATTTGTCATCATTCTTCATCGCTAGAAATGGTAGAATGTTCCGAACCATCATTGTCACCGTTGTTGCTCGCATTTCTAATTGGCTCGTACTGATAGGGAAGAACATTTTGGTGAATAAAATGTCTCACAAGCTATCACTTTCTGCCAATGCCATATTGAAATATACATCGACTGCTACACGAGTGGCACCTCTTATGTCATGTCACATGATTTAGCTTCAGCTCATTAATTGCGGAATTCTGAAAGTGTTTTTTAACGTTATTTGTTACTAAAACTTTTTTAAAAAAAAAAATAGTTCTGAAATGCGTTACACAATGAACTAAGTAAATGATAAAATTAAACTTTACTAGAGCATTCTCCATTAAGTAGGTATGCTGATTAGGTGCTTTGTTTAGATAAAAATATTCGTCCCCTAGTGGTCATGGCAAGGGAAACTTGAAGGTGCAAATTTAGTCTTTCAGCTTCTCTTCCTTATCCAGAATCAGATTTGGCAGATATATTGCTTAGATAGTGCTTAATCAGATTTGCTTGACCTGATAGGGATGGGTCAACTTGATTGGACAAATTTAGCCATTTTCAACTTTTCCACTTAAAACTGCTAGAATCTGGATGGATTGGAGCCAAATTTGATAAATAGGTTGATCTAGTGATGTTAGAGGAGTGGGGCAGTGGAAGTACATGTATAAAGGAACAGATATAGATATTTTTGAATTCTTAGGGAGCATTTTTTGAAATTTTTAACATACACACGTATATAGATGTAAATTTTCAACACCTGTTTACTCTGCATCTGTTGGCTCGACCAAATTTTCTCGTGATCATTCTATTTCCAGGAATTTTGTTGATTTGCTGAAAAAAACCTATCGAAATTCAAAATTTTTGTATCTCCCCATTTATGTTAGATTTTAAAAATGTTTACCGATTTTTATTTCCAATCATATCGTGACGTTTAAAGCAGTTCTCAATGGAATGTTTTTTTAATTTGATGGTATTGTTCTTTTGGGCCTATCTGAATCACTGAGTTAATATGGTAAAATTGATGAAATCTTGTGAACACGATATACACAAGAGCATTATCTGACGAAGTTTGAAACTCATTGACATTGAGGTTGCTCATTGTGTCCTAATAAGGCATTGATTGAATTTAAACATTTTGGAAGGATCAAAATTCTGTAATGCGTTTTTGGAGTTATCTATAACTTCACATTAAACACAATCTTCATTGCACACATACTCTAAAGCTATTGGCAATCAAGGCCCTTGTGCCTTGTCGACTTTCTTTGAATGCGCTCGATTTTTCTTAAACACAACCCTTTCGTATATTATTTTACAGTTTGATTGTGACTTTCCCTACTGGATGTTTTTTGTCTATTGTAGTACTCCACAATATCGCGTAAATTTGTCGAGGTGATGACAGGGTATAACGCTGCACAACTTGATTACCGAGACAGGTGTAAAGCTCGAATTCAACGACAGATGGAAATAAGTAAGCCGATCATCTCGTCACTGTGGATGCACTGAGTGTTGCCGTCTTGTCCTCATATATTAATACAGAATTTGTCTCCTTTTTCCTACTTATGTTTATAATGTTTAGATGATTCTTACACATTTACTCCATTCTTCATATTGGATAGTGTTGTGATTAGCATGATTTGATCACTTCAATATTCAATTTCGTTAATGTGGTAATGGATGAAGGGAGACAACTTCTGTTAAATAGTTTAGTTTTATTTTATTTTTTTAGTATTTATTTCAGTGTTTTGTTTATAGATGCCTTTTTACTTCAATCAAAGCAGTATATTATTATTATATTTTACTGATTTTCTAGCAAGGGTGGATCAGATTGGAAGATTTCAATTGGTCGTAGAAAATGTTGAGTTGTAAATAAAATCACTTTATTTTATTCACATGGTTGATAATTTAAAAAAAAGATAATAACCGTAAAAGTAAAACCTATGCACCTTAAGCATTTTATTTATATATTTATTTTTTTTTTGAGTCTTTGACCATTGCGAAAAATTTAAAAGTGATTTTAAACCTTCCAACCACATATCTTAAAGTTCCCCCTGCATTTCTAGTAGAAAATATTTTAATTCTGTTCTAGCATGCCACGTTATCACGTAAATTTGTCGAAGTTATGAATGACTACAACGCATGCCAGATTGACTACCGAGATAGGTGCAAGGGCCGCATACAGAGACAACTTGAAATAAGTAAGCTATGAATCAACCTTCAAATTTACTTGATGTTTTACAGTTTTATATACATATGTGTATTGGCTGTAGTGTACAATTAAGATTACTGGGAAATTAATAAAGCCATTATGTATGGAATAATATTTAAAATTTATCTATTAGTAATATTTACAAATTTATTAAATGTCTGGCCCCCTATTCTCTCATAACAAAGCTTTAATATTCTTATTTGATTAACATAATAGTAATTATTTTTGCAATCACATGAACGAATTAGTATCGTATTTAAGATCAGAATATTTGGTCAAATGATCTCCCGTTTTCAAAAGCTGCTTTAAACGTGTAGTACTTGTCCATGTACTTGTGTAAATATTCTACTTTATATTATAATTGTTTTTTTTTAAAAAAAATATTTTATAATCATGCCAGAAATTTTAGTAAACAAGTGTATTAGCATTTGATTGCTTGTAGAAATGATTTACATTATTCTGTCATAGATATGCTTATGTAATAAGCTTTGTAATCAATAGAAATAAACAATTAGCATTTTTTAGAAGTTTATAAATCCAAATAGTTTTGATTTAATTAATCATTATTTTGTTTAACTGAATGGGTAGAAACTATTGATATAAAAACTGAAGATATATATTTAATACTATAATTATGACATGAAATAGTTTCCAGGATTGCCCCCACCCCCCAAAAAAAACCAAAACATCCAATCCAGCCTGCGAAAATGACAAAAAAAAATATTTTTATTCTATATTTTTTTCTGCATTCTATTTAAATTAGCACTTGCAACACATTTATATAAAATTTATTTCAAGTTTTATTTAGTAGTAAAATAGAGTTAGAGCAGTGTCAAGCAAGTTCAGACAACCCTTGAAACTAATTGTGGATGAATTCACCTGACCATTGGGTGTACTATTCTCAGTCTGCTATTATTTTTTATACACCCATATTGAAGTGTGTCTGTCATCCATTGTTTTTGTAAACAGACTACATTGACGGTTTAAAAAAATTTTAGAAGCTCATATGTTGTTTATATTAGTGAGACATAGACTGATTTCTGATAATAGCATTTGGACAGAAGTTTTTATCAGATCTGCTTGAAATTTTTATGCATTTATTTAGATTTGTGAAGCAGAAGTCAATCAAATATAAACACATTATTTGAGACCTTTATATACCTTGCTTAATTTCTAGAATCTTAGTGAAATGAAGAAACCTATTGAATTTCAACAATTTTTATGCTCCCACATTTTCATGTGGACGTATTATGCCGTCGCCCCTGTCTGTCCGTCCGTCCACAATTTGTTTATGGACACTCTACAGGTCACAATTTTTGTCCGATTTTGACGAAACTTAAAATATAGGTCTATCTCCCTAGAGGTCACAATTTTCACCTGATTTTGATGAACCTTGAAATGCATGTTTATAACCGAAAGATCTTGGCCCCTTTTGATATTCGCGCATATCAGACCGTAACTTATTGAATTATGGACCCTGATTCTATGAAAAATAGTGTTTTTAGCTTGTGGTCCCTCTAAAGGTCACAATTATTATCCGATTTAAAAGAAAAACGTTTGAATATATCACCGTTACACCATAATTCTGTGAAAATCAGACAGAATGGCTGCCCCTTGTACCCAAATAGTGTAAACATCTGGTATATCATGGTTGTGGATCCTCTAGAGGTCAAAATTTTGTTCTGATTTTGATGAAACTAGAAAAGCATGTTTACAACCCAAAGATCTTGGTTCCTATTGATATTCGCGCATATCGGATCGTAACTTCCTGAACTATGGTCCCTGATTGTATGAAAAATCGCGTTTTTAGATTGTGGTCCCTCTAGAGGTCACAATTATTATCTGATTGTGCATAGGACCTCAAATGACTTGACAGCTGTCCATTTCAGGTCCGCCGTCCTGCACGTCCACATTTGGGAACTGGGGGGAACCATGCCGGAAAATCCCATGGAACTCTCTCTACCAACATTGAAAGCGAACCGCAGACCGATAAGTAGTCAGCCAGCATTTTACCCAGTGAGCCAATGTGACTCTCCATGTTTAATGACTGTATCATGGGGCTATACTGTATGTGCAACAATATCACCAAATTAATTTGTTGGTTTAGTACTCTTTTATTTGTGAATATTGCCACGTAGGTATTAGATACTATTAGAATGAAAAATATACTTACCATAGAGATTATTAAGTTTAGATTTATTGTTTAAAGATATCTTTCCTTGGCAGTCATGATCATAACATTGTTATCTAAGCTAAATATATTTTCTATCAAAAGCGTATTTTATAAGCGAATTTGATCATAACATTATTGTTTTAACGGCCTACAAATTTAAACTTAGCCACCATAATGTATTTAACTTGCAAGTGCAAATGTAAGACTCAGTAGTTTATGCTATGTAATAAATAACTTTTCGGAGAAAGCAGGAGATTATTAAAATGGGTTTGTTGGTCTGTCATGCTTTTTGGAACACAATAATTGAGATAAACTGTTCATGAGGTGAATGTCTTAAACAGAGTAATGAGCAATTTGATGGGTTGAGACTTTGAAACACAATACCTTTGATTCTGATGAGGGTTTTATGCATGGACTAAGTAGAGATAAGCAAAACAGTAATTTTGCTTCTAATGAAGGTAGTATGTTCAAACTAGGATAATGTTTTGTCATAAGCATTTTACGACCCTCCCTTAGAGAAAATTGAACAAAAAACAATATTATACTTGAGGGAACATGTCTTTGAAGATTTCATAGAATAATTTCATTGGAAGGCAAAAACAATTGCTGGCTTTAAACTTTAATCATATTAATAATCAAAATTATTGTCTGATATGGGTTCTACATGCATTTAAATATGCATTGGTGTCCTAGAAAACTTGACACTGCTCTATATGTTATTTACAATACTCTTTTCAATTCATTATAAGATAATCATATTTATCGCACTGAACATTGCAATTTAAAATTTTCACATTTTCTTCTTTTTAACTGTTATAGAGGTGCAAATAGGATGCTGTAGCTCCAAATTTAGGGATACATTGCTAGATATTAACATCCTTCTTAAGGCTGAATGCTGCAACTCAAAATGTTACTTGTTCCCTGTTAATATGAAAATAACTCCTATGTCCCAGTTAAAGGTTTTGTCAAGTGGAGGCTCGACACATTAAATAAGATTTATATGAAAGGTTCGCACGAGGCCAATATTATAGTTTTGTTTAGAAATTAATGCTATCACAATTCCAATTAAAAAAAAGTATTTTTCCTTTTGAGAGAAAACAGTAAGAATTCCTGTCCACTAAAATTCTTTTAATCCTGGTTTTATTGTTTGATTAAACGAAACTTAGATATGTTCTAATATTTTTAACATAAAGTTTTTGAAAAAAGATCTTAGAAAATGAAGAATTATGATGCTATAAGCATATTAAGGTACAGTATTGTAAATTTGATGATACAAAAATAAATTTATTACAGCTGGTAAAACTACAACTAATGAAGAGCTAGAAGATATGTTGGAGTCGGGCAATCCTGCAATATTTACTCAAGGGGTATGTTATTATGTCCCTTTGTTGTCACTAGTATGTTGATGAATACCTTTGAAAATAATACCAGTTAACAATTTTGAAATAATCTGATGTCTCCATAATTGTGCCTCAAAATTCTTCTGTTCTGTATCAATCATTATTAATCCATACTGATGAACAAAATCATGTAACCAAGCCTGGAAATGAGATACCTGTCACAAACATATTTTCTGGTACAACTAAAACCATTATTTCCGTGCCTTTATATAACCGCAAATGCACATCTCAAATGGTACAAATTCATCGGAACTGTAAATTTGTGAACAGTTTATTGGTGCTGTACAGATTGTCTTGCAGATGAAAAATTATCTAGCTCCATGATAGTATGGTGTTAATTCATACAGATAATACAAACTTGTGGACCAACTTATTGTCATATTTCTTCATAATTCTAAGATTATTTAAATACTGAACATTTTGTACTTTATTTTTCAGATTATTATGGAAACTCAACAAGCTAAACAAACATTAGCAGATATTGAAGCACGACATAATGATATTATACGATTAGAAACAAGTATACGAGAGTTACATGATATGTTTATGGATATGGCTATGTTGGTAGAGAGTCAAGTAAGTTCCGGACATATATGTCTTTTTGACACTTTAGATGTATTCTGATCACAGTATGATTGGAAAACATAGACAAACTATACAAAAAATTATTTTGTTGCCACCAATAAAGAATCTTAAGATTTAGAAACGGCCAATATCCAGGATGATCAGTGGTTGAGAACTCGTTAAGTTGTTGCACATTAGATTCATATGAATGATAGTGTTATGGTTAATTTTATATATAATAAGCATCATTATAGGGTGAGGGAGAGAATGTAAGCATATTGAGTAAGTGTATGTAGAAAATCTCGTACGACTCTGTTTCTATATCAAATATTTCAATATCTGATGATAAGTAAAAAAAATTGGAGCTCTGTAAATTTAGGCAAAGGTATATACATGTGTTATGTTACATTGTTTTTAGGATGAGATGATAGATAATATTGCATATGATTTTATACAATGTATTATTTTAAGGAGGGATAATAGATTGTATTGAATATAGATCATACATATTATGTAGTATTATTGTAGAGATAGATGATAGGTCACATTGAATTTTATGTTATATAATTTTGGAGAGATATGAATATAAAGTCGTATTGTTTTAGAGAGAGATTATGTATTATATCAAAATATTATGTTATTTTGTTTTCGAGAGAGATAATGTATCATATTGAAAGGTATCATATTGGGGGCTAAAAGGTGATAAATCGTGTGGACTGTAATGTTATAATATTTTAGGGAGAGATGATAGATCGTATTGAATATAATGTTGAAGCAGCTGTAGATTATATTGAAACTGCCAAAATGGACACCAAGAAGGCTGTCAAGTATCAAAGTAAAGCTAGACGAGTAAGTAAACATTTTTATAGTTGTATTTTTATTTGCCCAAACAGGCACCCACCTTTTATTTTGGCTGAGGCTTTTTCTTATCTGCTGGTAATGATTATACCCAGAGGAATACTCTGCTTTCAACCAACTGACAATTATACCATATGATACTGAGATGCAATGACCATGCTCTACTGTTGTGTACTGATTTGGCTAAAAGTCCTGGTGACACTCGAGAGCTAATGTAGCAGAAATGTGATTTTCAGCATTATTGCTATTCAGGCCTTTGCCAATCTGTAGTGGACCTTGTCTGCTGCTAATGATCAATGAGTCTTAGGATGGCACCCAAGCCTTTGGGTGACTGCTCTGGTACTCATTCCCATTCTGTCAAATACAATTTTTATACAGCCACATTTTCATGTGGACGTATATTGTCGTCGCCCCTGTTCGTCCGTCACAATTTTTATCCGATTTTGGCAAAACTTGAAATTTAGGTTTATCTCTCAAAAATCTTGGTTCCTTTCAATATTCGAAAGTATCGGATTGTAACTTCATGCATTATGGCCCCTGATTGTACGAAAAATCATGTTTTGAGCTTGTGGACAATCTAGAGCTAGAGGTTACAATTTTTATCTGATTTTGATGAAACTTGAAATATATGTTTATAACCCAATGTTCTCGGTTCCTGTCAATATTCTGGGATATTGGACCGTAACTTCCTTGGTTATGGTCCCTGATTGAATGTGATGCCTCTAGAGGAGACAATTTTTATCCGATTTTAAAAACTGTCTAAATATATCACCGTTACAAGATAATGATGGTTGAGTTCGAATTTCTTTAAAAACGGACTAAAGCAGCTTGAACGAAATGGTCGCAAATAGTGTTAAAGTATGTCATATCACAGATTATGGAGACTCTAAGAGGTCACAATTTTTATCCAATTATGATGAAACTTAACACGTGTTTATATCCCAAATATCTTTGTTTCTTTCGATAGTCACATATTTGACCGTAAGTTCCTAGATTATGGCCCCTGATTGTAAGAAGAGAATTGCGATTTTAGCTTATGGATCATCTAGAGGTCACAATTTTAAAAATCCTTTTAATATATCATCGTTACACCCTGATGATGATTTAGTTTGAATTTCACAAAAATCGGACCAAAACTGCCTTACAAAATGGCCGCTGCTTGAACACAAATAGTGTAAAAGTATGTAATATTAAGGTTGTGGACCCGCTAAAGGTCACAATTTTTGTCCGATTTTGATGAAACTTAAAATATATGTTTATATCCCAAAGATCTCAGGTACTTTGGATATTAGCACATATCAGACCATTACTTTCTGGATTATGGCCCCTAATTGTGCGAATAATCATGTTTTTTGTTGTTTTGGCTTGTTCTCTATCTATCTCTTGCAAAATGTGGACGTACCTTGCCTGGCAACCGCTGGTTTTAGTTTGGGAGAATTTATAAGCATGTCATATACACGTGCTCTGATAGTATGTCATCCATTTATAAAAGGGTTATGTTTTCATTGCGTCTCAGTATAAGGAACTTAGAACAATGATTTAGGTTACTAGTATGCAAAATTCAACTTGTAATTAGGAGAGAGAAATGTGGTTTAATGTCCACTCAACACGAACTAGGTTATTTTGGGACTAACACATGGTTCAGTTTTATTTCAATAATTCACTTGTGCGTAGAGAGAGGTCTTTAGTAGTGGGAGGACCTGGAGAAAACCCACGAGGTTGGACAGGCGACCCTACTCCTTGTCACGTACAACCAGGGAATCGAAACCCCGCCAGTTGACTCAATGACAGACCTTATGATACAGCGTGCACATGCTAACCATTCGGCCATCCAACTCCCCTTGTAACTAGGAGATAAATACTTGCTGTAATTGTTCACTTGATGTTGTTGTTCTTAGTGTTTATCGTTCACTTCAACCAAGGGTGATATCGCAGACAAGTGGTCTTTTATTTTCATTTTTATTATCTTAGCGCACATGGGAGGAAACCAGAGTAAACCCACAAGGTTGAGAAGGCACTCATATCTCTAAGTCACATAGCTCACACCAGGGATCAAAACCACGACCGCAAGCCAGAGGTGACCGGCCAGCTAGAGGTCGAAGCACGACACTCTAGACCACTAGGCCATCAACCCCCCCCCCCTTCACTTGAGAAAGCTTCCATTATTTGTTTTCAAGATATAAGCTTAGTTTTCAGTCTTGCAGCAAACCATAAAATGACAAATAAGACTTATTTCTGACTGAAGCAAACAATCTCTCTCTTGTTTTTCTACTTAACTGCACATTTTGTTTTTTATTTTGCATGACTTTATCACCACATAGTTTGATTTTAATTTGTTTTTTTTTCTTCTTTTTGTTATTTTTCAGAAAAAGATTATTATAATTATTTGTATTTTAATTGCTTTAGCTATTATTGGTTTAATAATAGGTTTATCTGTGTAATTGTCATATTTATTAAAGTCATCTTTGCATAACCATGTTTGGCAAATGGTTTTATAAAGTTCAAAGTTCCTCCTCTGGGAATTCTGGCAGTCTCTATAATGCTGAATTTTATATTCTTCTTCTTAGGTTTTGAGAATGATTAATTTGGCATGAGCACAGTAAACTAACATTTTTCTGTCATGATTATGCAAAGATTACAGATTGTAATGTGTACAATCCAGTAGATAACAATTCTATCCAAACATTCATTTGTGACGACTATTTATTTGTATATACTTCTTAAGACTATATTATTTGTGCCACATTTCACCTAGAAAAATAAATAGTCATCATCATCATGTTTTGGATTTAAAAATTGTAATCTTTAAAAATGTGTTCTTACAATTTAAAAGAACAAAATATAGACAAAGTTGTGAATAGAAGTCATTTTATACATATTTGGATAGAATTATAATTTCATGCCTTTTAATTTCATTTTTAATTAAGCGTCTATTTTTATTTAATTGAATTGTATCCATGTCCTCAAATTGTAAGGTATTAATCATATCCTTTCCTTTTTCATAAAAGTTTTTTTTTCTTTTCTTTTTTGTGAAAAACTTCATATGTATTTAAATTTCATTTATTTGTGAAGTATTTTAGATTAAGAGTTACATTGATTTTTTCCATTTCAGAAAAAGATTATCATTATTATTTGTATTGTGCTTGGATTGGGAATTCTCGCTTTGATTATTGGACTATCAGTTCCAGTAGATTAAGTATTTGTTCCAAATTTGATCTTGCTACATAAGGTGATCAATTTGTGACATTCCTTTTATGGGAGGGGACCATTTTAGATGATTCTGGCGTAATGGTTGGAAATTTGTCATGTAGCAATAGGTTACAGCTGTTTATTTATATCATAAAAGTTTCATAACATTTTCTACAAATACCTTAAAGGAGCAGCCCCAAATTTCTCATGTATCCATGATAAAAGTCTGCTTCCAAGATTTCACATTGTATCCAAGATAAAAGTCTGCTTCCAAGATTTCACGTATCCACGATAAAAGGAGATTTAAATGCATTTTAGATATCATTGGGAATCATACAGAAATTTGTACAGGACTCAGGGACAAGATATCTTGCAGTCTTTCATAGAGAATTAATCTATTTGGGTCATTAAAATTTATCTGGGTTGGCTCCTTTGAAAAAATAGCTATACAGCTTGCTTAATGCAGATATGGTGGTATAAGACAACACTGCCATTTTGTTTTCTCAAGTATATCAAATCTGTCATTCAATATTTATAAGATCTTGGAACTCTTGGGGTTTTTTTTTTATGTAAATGTGACGAATGATCAATGCGGTTTCTGTATATTTCTGTAAAAAGTGGACCAAAGTGTCGTAATAAGACAAGATGGTTAAGGGTAATGATTGCACAATTACTAGGTAGTTGTATTGTTCCTAACATAAGGATCTAATTAAAAAAAATGCATATTGTCTTCAAGTAGTCAAAAAGTTATATCATGCATTAATTTTGCATTGTTTCTTATTGCGCAACTTTTCATCTAGTATATCTGTAAACCAATAAACATAGGTTTTAAAGATATAATTCCTATATAATAGGAACTATGCCAAATTTCCTTTAAAAAATCAACTTTGTGCTGGGTAAAATATTGATATAAATCGCCAGAAAAGCACTATCGATGGCGCTGTGTTACTATTGATTATCAAACTGTTTATTTTTCTGACAGTTTAAGTTAATCATTCACATACATCGCTCACTTTAATTACTTCAAAGTATCAGTGTAACATTATAGCAAAAATCCACTCTCATTAAAACATTACTTTGAGTTTGAAACAATTATGGTTGAATTGTGAAACATTGTCCACAGATCTATTTATAAATTCACATGTCCACAGATCATTTATAAATTCACATGTCCACAGATCTATTTATAAATTCACATGTTGTGTGAAAGCTGTTCTGAATGTATATTAGATCTTTTCTTTAGTGTAAAAAATCAAAAACACAATAAAGGTATAAACTTTAAATAGATTGTGCATCATATCTACGGAATTCAAGAGCTTGTATACTTACGCAGAACATTTATATGACTTTTTGACTTATAAGAAACAATATACAAATAATGTTATAGGAATCTTAATGTGGTACATTAGTTCAGTTAGCTGTTGTTTACTTGTTTTTAATTTTAAAATGTCACAACCCTTGTTTGCCTTAATGCTATGCCACAATTTATTTTGGTTATGCTATGTTGTTTTATTTCATACCAGTATGTTGTTGTTTTGAAAAGAAAACAAAAAATCAAACAAGGATGTGGTAAAACTGTATTGTGCCTGTTTTGAACTCTTCAAAAATCATCTTAAGGGCATTGAGTACTCTAAAATATGCATTGTGCCTGTTTTGAACTCTTCAAAAATCATCTTAAGGGTGTTGAGTACTCTAAAAAATGCATCTTAAAGCTAGCATTGTGCCTGTTTTGAACTCTTCAAAAATCATCTTAAGGGTGTTGAGTACTCTAAAATATGCATCTTAAAGCTAGCACTGTAAATTTTGTTCATTTACCAACTATGTTCCAAACTTGACCCCAAAAGCATGATAATAAAGGCTGATGACAAGAAAAGTCTTAATATCCTCAGTTATGCCAACCTGGATTTTCATCAAATTTGGCATGAACAATGCTAAATGTAAGTCCAAGAAACATAAGGTTCACTTTTTAGCTATAGACCGTGGTTTGTCTGGTATTCATGGAAATGCCAACAAATGATGAGTTTTCTTCGAAATTCTACAAGTTCGTGCTAAAGAGAGATATTGATAACCCCAAACATCATAAGCGACATTTCGACACCAAAAATGTTAAAAAATATCAACTCAAAGTATTTTAAAATCTTTGTTTATTATTTACCTTCAATCGAGATTTTGTGATTTTGGTTAAATTCTTTGAATATGTCCACAACTAGTTGTTTTAAAATACAACAATTCAGATGTAAAAAGTAAATATTTACTTAAGTGCACTATTTTAAGCATTCAAAAATGATAGTCTTCGACAATAAAAAAAAAAGAAGAAATTCTGTGATGTTCGAATCATGATAGATGATAGACCAGGAAAATCGCGTTGTAGAGGGAATTCCTTTTGGTCACGCCATCCAGCGTGAAACTGTTGGTGGAGGCAGCCGTGATTATTTACTGCGGATCACGTGACCGATTTGTATGACATCACAATTTATTGAACAACTGATCTAGGTTGGGGAAACCTTCTTGTTTGGAGTATAAATAGTTTTTTTTTTCTTTCTGCTTATATAGGTCTGACGGTCATGTGTCCCTTAATTGGTTAAAAATTATTCCTTCACATATTAAGAATAATCAGATGTGATTGTGGCAAATATTTATATTCACTTGCAGAATTTATATCAGCCAGCCATTTTAACACACTTCTGAACTAAAAAGAGGGGAGGGGAACAGGTTTAAGCGGAGAAATGGCAAATATTCATGGGTCTTCTCTTTTTTTTTTTTTTAAACAACTGCCTTATCATGAATTTCAAGATTTTTGCCACTGTCACTTTTTATGTTCTCAGGACATAAGAATTAGTCAAAATTTGTGAATCATTTGTAAATCAAAACAACAACATATAATGGTAACACAATGTAAATCTGTATATTTTGTATCATAGTTTAAGATGTTGCACATGAAATATACAAACATGCTTTAAAGGTTTCCCATTGGTATGATGGAAATTTCATGGAACTTTCTGTGATGTTACTGTGTGAAATACACAGTGTTACTGTAAATTGTAATAAGTTTACAAGGAATTCATTTTATTCATCAATGTGTCAATGACATGAGTGCCAAAAATGATGTGATTAAGATTCTGCACAGCAAAAAAAAAAAGAAAAAAAAGGTTGCCAGTAAATTATACTGTGTCCAATTTGGTTAAAACAATCAGTTAAAAAGTACGTAAGATGAAAAAAAATTGCATGTACTTATAGCTAGTTTTTCCTATATGCACTTTACGGCAAGTTAACATCAATCTGATTAAAATTATTTCAGCCATCTGCACTTAAAGTCGCAAATATAGACCTCCCGTAAAAACGACTTTGCCAATTATTGAAAACACTCTTTCTTTGTTTTTATTCCTTAATTATCTATATACAGCCGCCATGTGTATTCATTAACGCCTGACTGATTCCTTAATACCCTGATTAAAAAAAACATTTGACTACGTAATAATTGAGAATTTGTTTTATAATGTCTCGCCCTCTCTTTTCCCGACAGCGATTTTAAAACTGTGCCGTCTAAACGATTTGAGATACATTTCCGTCAGACGAGTATTATGGTTCTAATTTCCCAGAGTAAGAGTACAGGAGTAAAAAGATGTGGTCATGCCAAATGTATCATAAAAGTCAAACATGATTGAAACGCGATTTCTAAATGACGATCTGTTATCAGAGTAGCCAACTGTATCTAGTTTTCCTGTAGCCATCGTACAGCGCCTTTCTTTCTGCATGTGGATTTGTCTTCATTACCGTAAAAATGAAATACGAAAAAATATCTCAATATACGTTAGAATTAACAGAAGTTATGTTGTAGATTTGAATCAAAGAATTTTCGTTCCAAGCAAGTTTTAGCGACGGCCTAATTTAACGATGCAAGTGATGTTTGCTTCCAATGCATCCAAGCGTAATATTTAATTGATGTTCGCACATAAACACTATGATTTTATTAAGAGGCCACTCCCGTTAAGCGGTCAGTCATTAAAATTCCCTTGAGTGGCTGCTTAATACAGATTCTACTATATAGCTAATAATGAATATATCGACAAATGACTGGCACCATTTGTATTTCTGTACTGACAGAGAATAGTTTGGGATATGAAGTATTACAGGGTGCTTCAAATTATTAAATGCACTAATTGTTTGGAACGTCTTCATTTGCCATATGGCTCATTTAAACAAATGCAGCTAAAATGGATCTACAGCATGATATAGCATTTTAAATTCACTCTAAAATATTCCAATCACAAATGTCTTAATCTATAACAATGCAAGACGATAATTTGGTGGTTGTGATTAGGCCAGTCACATGTTAATTGGAATGTCAATAGACACTGGTCAACTGGTGGTGTGTATGGACAGTGATGTATTGTACAGACAGTGATATATTGTATAGATAATGTATATACTATGTGTAGTCCCTGACGTCACCAGCCATTCAACCGATTTAAGGTCGTAATTGAAAAGCGTTATTATTATAATAATAGCCGAATTTATTTGAATCAGATTGGTGTGAACTTGCCGTAAAGTGGATATAGTAACCATTGGCTATACATACATGCAATTTAGGTTTTTCATCTTATGTGCTCTTCAAGATTAATTGAAGGTATTTGTATTGACACATTGGGTTTATAGGTGACTAGTTTTATACCTTAATATTACAACTGTATGGAGATATGTATAGGATAAACTGAAAAGAATTTTAAAAATTAAGGAAAGATATTTTAATATTAAGCTCTAATACATTCTGAATATTTATTATGTAAGTATTTTATGTTTGATAATACTCTTAAAATTCAAATTAAAACTCCCAACTTTTTGTTCAAAATTAAATTTGCCTCAGATAGTATTGACAGGTCACATTTTGTCGGGCGGTTAATTAAATATATATTTTAAATAAACATGTACTTGGTTAGAAACACAAAATATTAGTTAAGCCACATCTTTTACTCCAAAATTTTAGTTGATATTTTAGCATTATGTGTAGATCTCTTGCAAAATATTTGGTTATATTACAGTAATTACAGTTTTAACCAAAACAATTAATTTAATATGACTGGAAAAATATTGAAACTGCTTTTTTTCCCTGATAACACTTCTCTTAATGAGCAAATGTAAATAATGTCTTAATCCTTTCTAAATTTGTAAACTTCACCTAAAGTGCAAAAATAGTCATGAATTATGTTTTGCTCAGGAACACTCTGTCCCATTCCTATCTTTATTTATCATATAGATATATCATATAGATGTATTTAAAGGGAAGACCAACAATTTTCAACAAGGGTTTCCATAAATTTTAACACACACAAACAAGTTTTTGTGATGTAATTGATTCAACATGTTAGCTGGTCTCAATAGTAAGCATACAGATTTGGCGCAAGTTTGCCAGTGTATTTTGTTAACACATAGTCGATTGACCAGAAATCTGATCGAAGGCACTGTTTATTAGGATATTATAAACACAAAATTATGTTTTTTAATTGCTGTGGGGTTGGATGGCCGAATGGTAAGACATGCACGCTGTATCATAAGGCCTGTCATTGAGTCAACTGGCGTGGTTTCGAATCTCCGGTTGTACATGACAAGGAGTAGGGTCACCTGTCCAACCTTGTGGGTTTTATTGAAATAAAATTAAATCACATGTTAGTCCTGAAATGACCTGGTTTGTGTCGAGTGGACGTTAAACCCCATTTTTCTCTCTCTCTCTTTTTTTAATTGTTTAATACACTAAGCCGTGGCGTAAATTCATGCATACTGAACAGTACGCTGTGACCCAATTCACGTCACATGGTTGATTATTTACATCACCTGCTCGCTTGACACCCGGCAAATCTGTATATGCTTACTATAGGGACCAGCAAGCATGTTGAACCAATTACATCACTTTCTGTTTTAATAAAATTGATTTTTTTGTAATTGATGAAAACCCTGTAGAATATCGTTGGTCTTCCCCTTTAATTAGCTACAATTTTAGTTTTAAAGATGATCGATTATCCTGTGTATATATTATTATTTCCTTATTGTTTTTGTGTGTACATGTATTGTTTTGATCTTTAGTTTTTAAATGTCTTTATGTTAAATTTTGATGATTTTCAATGATAAAAGATAACCAAAATCTTATTTTTTGAGCCTTTCATTGATTATTTTAAATAGTTGTTTGAGCAATGTGTACACAGAAACACTTAAAATGTTAGAATGGTCACAAAATCAATTTTCTTTTTCACAAGATATGTTAAAAGTAAAAATTAGTGTTTTTGATCAGTCTTATCCCAAAACAGGAGGGTATATGAAGGGCATTATCAAGCTAACCCCAAACTGTTTGGCTTTTAATTTTACAAAAAAGTAATTGAGTCACAATATAAATTTGATTTGAATTTACACACACAGGGTATCATTGTTTGAATTTCATATATAAAGCTCTGAACCAAAGATGTGTAAAAATATGTGTTCGTTTTAAAACATCTTGATATCCTGGCAATTAATCCAGTATTATTTAATTTTAAAGTTTATTTTATATAATAATGTAATTATTAATAATAGATTTATTATGATTTTGACAATAACAATAACAATATCTTGCTCAAAATGCAATTCATATATTTATGCATGGATGTAATTTTTAAAAAAAAATATATATATATATATATACTGGTATGCACCATATGAAATTACCAGTACACTTAATATAATGGAAACACTTTCTATTTAGATACATTTAACATGAGTTTAAAATTACCCAAAGCAGGTCCTAAAGAAAAAGTACAATCAAACCAAATAATAAAGTAATTTAAATGTGTATGGACTAAATCTGTGGATATTTGTTATATCAAGACTAGTGTTAATGTCAGTTAAATAAATCGTTAAAGACACAACATTTAAAATTAAAAGACTAATTTTAGGGCTAAACAAATTCGTTAGAATCTTTCAAGTTATGACCATTAATTTTGTCATTTATGCCTGATTTAAGAATTACTACAGATTTTCTGTACCGTACCAGTTTAAATGTTTGAATCCATTCAAAACCATTCCAGACTGAAATTTAAAGTCAAGACTAATGTTGTTAATTATTACATTGTACAGTACATTAGTACACATTTTAGATTGGTAAATTAGTTTTGCATGTAATTGGTCTTGATGGGCTTTCACTCAAATTTATAATGGAATTATAATTTAACATTACTGTATATTACAATTACAAATGTTAAAATCATTTCTTCATGGTGGTAAATATAAAATGAATTTGAAAATTTGATTAGAAAACTTAAGTGTTATTTGGTTTGTATTTGTGTTACCTATGTTTGTTAGTAGTGTACATGTATATTATTTATGATTAGCTTTAGTTGTCTCATTACACTGTGCAATCATACCCTCCCATAACTCTGTATCTGTATATATTGTTAGACATGAATATATTATATATATATCTCGAAATGATTCAAGTAAATATCAGAAATAATACTGCTTTTGTTGATATTTCAATTTTCATTGTCCACATGCTAGGGTAATGTTTTTTTTTTTAAATACAGTTTTGAGGGAATGAAATGGAGATCACAAATATATGGTACTGTAAAACATATAATTTGTGCGTCATCATAAATTTATTGCAAATTGTTTAATGTAGAGAAAAATATGCCTTGACATTTTGTCATGAAATTAATGTGTTCTGGGATTTGCATTAATAATTATTTTATTAATGTATGCAATAATTTCATGGTTACAGTAAATTGGGCTATACCAGATCAGAGCAGGTAACGTTCTCGAGGCCAGCAAAGACATAGTAGTAGATATATGATTCGTGAGGCATTACTAGTGATGTTTAGGGTGTTTGAAACAGTTTGTGCCAAGAGAAACTTTCTCGTTGGTTTAGATTTTTTCCACTGTATAAATGACCTCTGTTGTCTATTGAATGCTGTTTCTGGGTTGAAATAACTTACATTGGGGAGGATAACTCCCAACATGCCAAAAGGAGGCAGACCACCATTAATTTCCCCATTGACTTCGATGTTAATTGTGGTCTCTTTGCCCAGCTCCAACTTTTCCCCAAATTATCGTTGGGCTGAATTCTTTTTTCACTACAGACAGAGAAACAAATGATCATGTCTTTGTGCCAGAATTTGTTTCAGGTTGACCACCAAAAGTTTGAGATACACAACCTTGAAGTAGCATACTAAAAACATGTAACTATTCACTGTACATATCACTGTAACCAACCTGTTAACTCTGTTATCCTTCTGCCTCTAAATCATGAATATTTACCAAAGTCTGGCAGAAAATGTTAAGTCAAACCCTCTTCATCCATGCTAGACCAAAAATCAACAAAAATTGGCATGCAAAAGGAGAGAAAAGAGAGAGAGAGGGGGAATTACTATAAATAGACGAACTACAATTTGTTGGTGCTGATAGGGTGAAATTTAATGTTGATCTGCTTCCAAAACAAAATATGTAAAATGGCACATTAACAACAAAGGCCCTGTGTATTAATTGGTATTGCACATGGAAGATCCCTTTACTGTAGACATGGTTATGATTTTGAGCATGCGATCCATGGATTACTCTTGCACCTATTGCTACTTTGATGTTAAGTCTTTTGCCCAGAAGATTTATGGAATAACAAAGAACTTGAACACAAAAAACATCAAATCGTTATGTATGTATGTATGTATTTTATTTTAATTTTTTTTTTATGTGCACTCAGTGTTGTAAACTTGTATTTAGTTATTCTAGTTTTACATTTAGTTCAGTTGTGCAGTTCTATGTGTAAATAGATGACTTTCATATTCTCAAACATATAAGATGGACTGAAAAGACTGTGATATGCTTAAGTTCAAATAAACACTGAGAAAAATGAAATGAGAAACAGCATAACCTTTGTCACACATTTTATGTTATTTCACCTAGGGTATCTGATCAGGACTGACCTGTTGTACTTAAAGGTGTAATAAAAAAAAAATGTATGCAGAAGTCTGACACAGATTAGAAATATTTTTATGAAAAGTTACAATGCATACCAGTAATCATATGTTTTTGTTTTGTTTTGCAGAAGAAAATCGCTATAATTATATGCCTAATAATTTTAGTAATAGTTATATGTGCTACATTTGGAGGATTGTTTGGATGAAGACAGACAGCAGTTTTTACTAATTATAACCCTTGCACTGCTGCACCAACAACCAATCAGAATAAAGGATGAAGGGGATGATGACCTCATTTGTTTCATTCACTATAAAGTAGTTAGATCATGCAATGTAGAAATTATTCCCAAAAGCAATGGCTTTCAGTTTTATATGACATACATAAAGCAGTTTATAGTTAAATTTTCAGTATTCAATATCCTTAATGTATTAAACTTCTTTGTCTAACCCTTATCCTTATCTCTGTTATGTATTAACATACACTGCACATATCCCTAATTGGCTGAACCGGTGGTACAGGGTGACACAATTTCTGCCCAACATTTGCAATGAATCTTATTTCTTCGTGCAAAATCATTGAAAAGCCAGTTTTTGTCTGAATGACCAAGGAGACTTACCTTATATCTGTGATCCTGTCAGTAGGATCTCAATACAGATTATATTATCTGTCATTTTGTTTACAAATATTTGTTATTTAAGAGCACAAGCAAGATCCTCATATGTTTTGAAAATGAACTAGTGCTTATTGTTTACATTCACATTGATAAAACATGATTTATATAATAGTTGTAAGGGTTAGACTGAGATAGAGACCATCTGCACATTATCAATATTATACAACATACTTCGATACACTGACTGCATTAGCTGAATTCATTTAGATACAAATTGAGCCACAGCACACCTCTAATGCTGTCTAAATATCAGACTTATGTCATAATACCTTGACATAATAAAAAGATGTTCAAACAATATCAATATCTTAGAGATGATGTATTATATTGAAGGTATATTCCTTGGATTGTATTTGGAACTTTAATTATACTTCATAAAGACAATTATACTTCATATGACAAAAATAATGTACAGAATGGAAAAGGGTTTGATATTTCGTCAATGCGATACTTGGGTCATTTTGAGATAAATACATAATTATATGGTTATGTGTGCAATACGAGGTAGAGAATTTTCCACCTACTCTTCTTATCAGCCTCACTGAATTGTATGTACAGATTAATTTGTTATAAATCAGAAGGCAAGCCTCTATGTCACTGTGTTTAATCTTTGCTGTTTCTTTTCAATTGACTAACATAAGTGACTGGTTAATGAATAGAGGAACATGCTTGTTATTTCATTAATTACCAGCACAACCATTAGTTTAGATGAAAACAAAGTTTTGTTCAACTTGAAGGAATATATCTTCAATAATACTTAGCTACAAATTACATATTATCATTTATATTAATAATAATTGTCTTTTATGCATAAATTTTATATAACATGGAAATTATATATACATGTAGTATAAATATGTAAGCTTATTCAGTTACTATATTTTGTAGGATCTGGGGTGAATATTGTTTTATTGAATATTAAAAGTTGGAACAGCATTGGTAAAATCTCAGAAAGGAATAGAACATAGCTATTCACATGTTCATATATGTAGCAAAAAAAAATTGTTTGCTGTCCATTAATTTGAATTTAAAGTAATAAAATGAGATAAACACAGTGATTATAGATATAACAAGGTAAACACTAATTGATATTCCCAAAGAGTGGGTTGAGAATTATATATCATAATAATATATTATATAAAAGGACAGTTATTGGACAGTAAATAATAGGATTTCATCTGTATTTTGTTATTTTTTGAAGGTGTGAATGATTTGCTCAAATTATTTCAACATTAAATTGTGTATATTAATGAATGGTTTTAGATAGTGATAATTTATTCATTTTTTAACCTCGTGTAAGATGTATGATAATTATTAGAATTTGTTTGATTCCATACCGTAGCTTTCATGTTTTGGGAAGCCATAAACTCAATTTTTGCTTAAATTTGAGTTCTACTCAGATTCAATTAGCTTGTTCCCAATGCTCAAGATAAAATGGACAACAATCTAAAATTACACATTTAAATTTGATTTTTAACAGATTTTTTTTGTAGCAGCAATCAACCCTAGAAAAACATCAGCTGCCACAATTGTTAGTTAGAATTTTGATTACCTACTTACAATACTGCAAATATCTAGGTTCAATAGCAGGCATCAGAATTTAACCTGATTTTTTTTGTGAGTTAAATGATGTAATTGTTGCTTGGTGCCATTGTCATATTTAGGATGAATTTAACAAAGTTTTGTTATTGCATAAACAAACATTCCTTTAAATTTTGTGGTGAATAATAGAGATTGTATTATCAGTCACTTGATAATCATCATTTAAATAACTTCATTGTAATTATTTGTAGTACACATTTTTATTGATGTTAGTCTCTTTGGAGATTATTTTCATAGATATTGAAGTACAACTAAATGTATTAATCTTACTACTTGTTGTATATCTCATTAGTGTTGGAGTCATAATCTTAAAAAAAATTCCACTGGCAGTAAATAGAAAATATGCATTTTAATGAATATTAAAACATTATACACAGTTTGTTTGTTTGTACAATTGCTTGAAAGTTTTAGCAATTAAAATTTTAAACAATCAATTGATGTAATGTATGTAGTAAAAATGTGGTGTTGCCATTTCAGATCAAGAAAAAATATTAAATTAATAATATGTATTAATCTACTTAAATTGAATACTGTGATATGCATGTTCTGAGTATTTTAATATGAATAACATAAGAAAACAAATTCATGTAAATTGTTTAATTTAAAAAAATATTTAAGAGGGGTATTAGTGATTTAAATGTTGATGTACACTGTAAATTGTCCAGGGTGCACAGGGAAGGACAGAATATTCAAGTAATATTGCTGTTAAATCTGATAACATTTATTGCAAGCTAACAGATTGATTTAAGGACCCCTATTGCATTGCTTCAAAGATCAGTAGAATTTTGCTATGACCAATTCACGTCATATATATGACATTTATGATTTGTTGGCTTCAAAAATAGGGCCCCAAATAATGTTTTCAACTTACAAAATTATTTTATTGTAATTGGGAGGCTTTTTTCAAGTCGGAAACCTTACTTAAAGTACAAAATTCAGTCACAGCATTAAAACATTAATCTTATCATATGGAGGTTGTCCTTTCGCATCAATTGTAAAATTGATATTTCTTAATAAATGCGGTGGTTTATAATTTGAATGTCTTGTGTAATTATATCGATATTCCAAGATGTTTTACTTTCATCAATTTTTTCCCCAGTGTAATTTATTACTTTAAACTTGGGAACATGATAAAGCCTCAGTTACAATATAGCTTAATGCTCAATCTGTACCTGCATAGCATTATTTCAAGAAGTAGATTTCGCCTCTTTATTCGGTGTCCTTCCACTTCTAAATGCACCCCAGTCCTTTTTTATGCTTGTTGTAGGCAGTAAGATAACTGTAGCTGGGGTTTGTGTAGCTGGTAAATCCTGTGTATGTTGAAACAAATTCAAATGAAATATCCATATAACTTAAATTATGCATCCCTATAAATCTCTGTTGGGTGAATAGTATGATTTTGTTTTTCTGTATGAATAACATTCCAAAAATGGTGAATTGATCATGTCTGATTAAAAACAGTCAAAATATTTTAATTGTTTTACAGTTTTGAAAAATATGCGAAAAATTTAAAATAAAAAAAAGTTTACTGGTGGAATAATACACTAGGGACCGGGTATCATTCAGATTTGATGAAAAAAGGAAAGAAACTGAGCTTACCATCTATAATCTAATACACATATTCAGTTAATAGATTGCCATGCAGAAAGTATTAAATACCATCAAGATTCATCAAAAACCGCCCAGTTTGTGCTACCGTTTAGTTTTTTCATCAAATCTGAATGATACCCAGTCCCTAGTGATAATAACTGTATAATGTTTAAAATATTTGAGCTGTATTTTTGTTAAATCCGATATGAGTGTTTTTATTCATGTATGTTATTTGTTAGCACCATTATATTATATCATTCCTTTATATTATAATGAATGTATATAGTGTTTAGTTGTTATTATATTGCCATGTTAATATAATACAATATATATCTAGGTGTAGATGACTTCTTACAACTCTGTACTTATTTAATCATACATAGTGTAATAGAACAGAATTTAGAAATATTCCATGAGAAAGAAGATAAAGATATTGATAGTTTTAAATTTAGTATATCATATTCATTTTCAATGTAAAAAAAGATAATCAAACATGCATACACTGTTGAATTTAACTGAATGTAATGTAATATGATGTAATGGGGTCAATTATTGCAGAAAAGTCATAATATATTTTTTCTCAAATTTTCAGTTTGTGAGCTATATGTTTTTTTTATCTCTCCAGAAATAATATTTTATGAATTCAATACAGAATTATGTTGTACAGCAACCTGAAATTCAAATAATCTTAAAGGTTATTGTTATAGTTTTACTATCTATTATACACTGTAATACTTAAAACAAGTGACAACGATATAATAACTTTTGGGGTTGCCAACTAATCACTATAATGTGGAGAATTTCTTTTCTTTAACAAATGAAATAGGGTTTAACTTTCTGCTCCATCCAGGTTTATGAAGATGGGTATACGCCATGCAGTGTGATATAAGGGAAATTTTGCCTTGACAGCGGCGCTACAGCCTACTGCCAAGGGTTCTTTGTCATGCATGCCAAACCTGTACACGGATGGGACCTCGGTTTTTTGCACCTTCTAAATGATCAAACACTGTTCCATGCCAGCCGGGCAGGCCCTCCGTCCTGCACCAATGACATGGGGAACCATGTCTCAAAATCCTGATGTACTTTCTCGGCAAATACCGGGATCGAACACAGGACTAGAGGGCCACTGCGGCTCCCCTTTTCTTTAAGATCATAATTACACTGGTGTTGAAGTTGGAGACTGAATAGGAAAATGAGGAGAATGATTAAATGTTCATTCATTTAAACTGAAGAAATTTTTAAACTGGCACCAATAATTATTGTTACTGTACCCAATGTCATTTGTCCTGTAACTAACAAATTTTGCTGTATTTTCACATTTTGTATCATTTTGTCTTTTCATTGAATGTACTTAGAAATGATAGAAGCATATTGTATTTTGTTTCAAATCTTTGATTAAAGTATATTCTACAATATTTAAAATTAATCAGTAGATAAACCTATACACAGTGCCTTGTTTTTTTTTTATTTTAAAATGTCCTAAGATTGTGGATTACTGATTGGAAATTTACCCTTTTTATCTCCCCACCAAGTGTTATATTTCAAAATGGATCGGATCTGATTTTTATTTTTTTTTTTTTTAAAAAAAAAGGTTTATTACAGTGAATCATTCCGCTACCGTCCCCAAAAGATTGTAAGGGAGAAGTTAGTAGTAAGTACTTATAACCGCTCTTTGGTTGAAACCATTTGCACTTCAGATTGCACTTTATACATGATTCCAACATTTATTACTTATTAGCAATTTATAGTTTACATAATTTAATGGCATCTTTTAACTTACCTCAAGTGCTAATACAGACTTATAGACAATATGTAATAATATACAGGATAAAAAAAAGGATAGTTTCAAATATCAGTACTTATGAGTGCTTTTCTTTATCACTAGTAAGTTTTATATCAGCTGCCCATTAAAATGAGTCTGTCTGTCACACTTAATGGGACATAATAAGTCCACTTCTAATTGAGATACAATGGTCAAACTTGGTGTAGCTGTTTATTAGGCAAATGCCTTGAGTAGGTGTTTATTAGGCTAAGCAGAGATAAGCCATTTGATTGGTTGATGCTTTTGGACACGATAAATTTGGTTTTAATTAAGTGATAGTGGTGAAACTTGGTGTATAGTTTCATGACATCCATACCTTGACTAAATTCAATAATGAGCAATTTCTGCTCAGGGTAAGCAGAAAGATAAGCAATTTGATTGGTCAAGACTTTGGCGTTCAATAACTTTGATTTTAATGCTCAATAATGAGCATTTTCAGCTCAGGATCAAACTTTGATTTTTAATGCTCAATGATGAGCATTTTCTGCTCAGGCTAAGTAGGGACTTCAATCTGATTTGTTGAGACTTTGTAATACAATAACTCTCCTTCTAATGGTAGAATGTCAAACTTAATTGGCGCGGGTGTTTATTAGTTGAATTTTGACAACGTTCGATCATGCACATTTTCCATTAAGGCTAAGCAGACTTTGGAACTAATTGGTCGAGGGCGATGATACTCAGTGTGTAGATTCATTATGTCAAGGCTTAACTAAGTTCAATGATGAGAATTTTCTACTTAGGCTAAATAGTGATTGGTGTAGACTTTGGAACGTAACAACTCTGCTTTTAATCAAGGTTCATTAGGTGAATGTCTTGATAAAGTTCAACGATTAACATTTTCCGCTAAAGCTAAGCAGAGCTAAGCAATTTCATTGGTCACAGCTTTGGGACAAGATATTTTTGATTCTAACTGATGGAGAGTGATGAAACAGTGTATAATTTCACTACCAGGTACTTCAAAACCTTGACTGAGTTTCTCATTTTCTATTTGCTTAGACAAAGTATAGATAATCAGTTTGATTGCACCATACTTTTCAAAAAAATAAATGAGCAATTAATATATATGTGTATCTATTTATTTTGGGATTACTGTGGGGGACATCAGCCTCACTGTTGGCTTCTTTCATTTACGGTACAACATTAACTGTGCATCTTACGAGGGATCTATACAGTAATACAACTAACAGACCTGCATCAACCCTTTAGTGTAACATGAAAATATTGACTAACTTTTACCTTGATTAAAATTAAAGGAAAGTGATATATCATCTTGGTATATCCGTCTTGTCTCTTTTTTTAGTCGCAGCTTGACAGCCTTAAACCCCTTTAAGTCATGTGCATAGCAATCCGTATACAAACGATTATATAAACTATTCATTTGACTGGGGTAGTCTGAATAGCATTAGTTTTAAGCAACCCAATCACTGAGTGTAAAAAGTATTACTTCCACCTTCTTATGAATAGTACTATAAGATACAATGTTTTTGTCTATTTCCATTTATTTACACTTTTTACAAAAAAAAACCTAAAAAATCAAAATCGTGGCTTTCTTTTTCTACCAGTGTATTTTGAGTCTGGACGTGTATCTCTGAAATGAGAAGATTAAGATACATACTGTAATTTTGAGGAGTTTACCCAGACTTCTGATATAAAGATTAGACTTGTTACCGGCGGGAAAGTGTGTATTTAAATACATCATTCTAGTTCTATATTAAATCTCCTTGAGCGACATTAATAAATTAGGTTAACTGGGCCTAAAAATAGCCTCTCTGGCGAACATGTTCAGCCAATAATTTACCTGAAGCCCAGGAGATCATGCATAGTTTGGAAAAAGTAAAATATTACCTCCCTTGTCTTCTCCTCCTCTCTTTTTTCTCTATGATCCAATCACGACTCTTTTTAGCCGATTTCCCTTTCAGTTTTCCAAATGTTACTCTGCAAAAAAACAAAAAAAACATGTTTCCACAAATTACATGAAATGGGGATTAACGTCCTACTGTTTTACACTGACTGGGCTAATGAGGACAGGCAGATGCCATACAGTGTGCTACAAGGAAATTTTGCCTGGACAGCAGCACTACAGCCTACTCTTATAACAAATTACAACTGTTAAGGGTTCTTTAAGGTACACAGGACATGGAGAAATGGGGTTTAATGTCCACTCGACAATATCTAGGTCATTTCAGGACCAACATGGTTCAATTTTAATTCAATAATCTGCTTGCGTGTAGGGGTCTTTAGCAGTGGGAGAAAACTGAAAAACCCTACTCTTTCTCACGTACAAGTGGGGGTTCGAAACCATGTGACTTGTCTGAAGAGATAATAAATGAAGACAGGTATTTCAGGAATATTATCAACATGAACTTGAAGCCTGTGAATACAGGTGAACTTGTCCACACTCAAGCTTGTCTAATAAAAAAATTTGGTCAAACTGTTCGAGTTGTCCACACCATACTGGCTTTGTCTTTGTCATCATATGAAGGAATAGCGTCCGTACGTATCCATAGTTTTTGATACAATTATTATTTAGTGTTATAGGTACAGTTTATTAAGCTTTACCTTTCACCTTTTATCACCACACCATACTGGCTTTGTCTTTGTCATCATATGAAGGAATAGTGTCCGTACGTATCCATAGTTTTTGATACAATTATTATTTAGTGTTATAGGTACAGTTTATTAAGCTTTACCTTTTATCACTATAAGCAACTTGATCATCAGATACATCAGTACCCAAACCTTTAGGTAATGTACAATTACCCCCACTTGTAAACAAACATAGAAACATCCTATAAAATAAACAGAAAATATCTGCTGATTGGGTAACTCTATATTTAAGCTTTAACTGCTCATGGTTATCAAGGAGTCTCACAATTATGAGTTTCTCAGGATAGCCACTGAATTCTTACTGCCCATCAAGCTTGAAAATCAGGCACCCGTCACAGACATAGTCAGGTATGAATCACTCTTGTGGCTTGTGTCTGTCCTATTGTCTGGCACAGATTTGTCTTTTTCTGTGTTTCTATTAATATATGTCAGTTAAAATGTCAAATATGATTTCAGTAGTGGTTGACATAACCCAGGAACAAATAAAACTTATTTCCGGGCCTACTGCCCATTGATTATTTGATGTTAAAGTGCACTGTAATTAACAACCTCATACTCATTGTAGGTTTTTCTCTTAAAGGGCACTTTTGATCGGCTAAAGTGAACAGTTGGGGACACTATAAACATAGGCTGTGGCTTAAAATAACCTTCAATTCAAGCGTTTTAATTGGGCTGGCAAAATATAATAATTTAACTTACTTTTTAGCTTTTGTACTGTTGGGATAATCTACTACTAAACCCCCAGTAAAGCCAGCTTTCATAGCTTGACATGTGATTAATTCTAACTAAAAATTAAATAGAGTTATGACAATGATGAAGACAGACGGTCAATTATCAAATTTGTATACTGTCAAAAATTTTCGAAATATGCCTTTTAATCCTAAAAGGAAGTATTTGATAATATTAGGTCACTTAATACAACTCGTATTCAAAATTAATTATTTCATAAACTCACAATTTCTAGAAATCTGAAAAATTGTTAGTCTGAAAATATACTAATTCTACCTGTGCACTGTTTTCTGGATATAACTGAAAGACAGCTTTTGCTCCTCGACACTGCAAACAAAAATAGTTTATTATGTAAGGTAAATAAAACGTTTGATGTTTGCCAACCATTAAACAATCTTAATTTTCTTTCAATCAAGGTGAACTTTTATTCTCATTAAATAAATATTGTTACCTATATGGACTACCCAAATTCATTTGCGGGTTAGTATCAAGTGATCAAGAATGAGTAAGCTTTAAGGCTGATGAGTTGAAATCTCTGAAAATATTTCTTTAAATTATAAAGATAGGTTGCCAGTCAACGAAACATACGCCCACTGCAGCTAAGTCGCCCGAGCAGTCAACAAGAGTTGTGGCATATTTTTTCTATTGTCGGTAATGAAACATTTATAATACACTAAAATCTGAGTAAGAGTAACAACTCATTAAGTAATTATCAGAAAATCATTAGAATTTATTTGGCTTTTAGTTCTGCCCCATGCTAACGTTTAGTATACGAAACATTTAATATCATGAATTTAGCTGTTCAAGTTATCAAAATTCATTGAAAATCAATTTATTTGATCGTCGATGATAACTTTGGTGTCTAGAGCATCTACAAGATTTTTCAAAGTGATCAAGGGCCAAAACTCTGGTAGTAATTATCGAAATCATTGAAAATCACTTGGCTTCTTCGTCTCACAACCTTAAACACTGTGTATAAATCTGAAGTCAATCGGATATTAACTTTAGCATCTAGAGCTTTTCCATCTCACAATCTTAAACACTGGGTATCAATATAAAGTCAATAGGATATTAACTTTAGCCTCTAGAGCGTCAACAAGATTTTTCAAAGTGATCAAGGGCTATAACTCTGGCAGTAATTTTTGGAAATTGTTGATAATCAATAGGCTTCTTCGTCTCATGACCTTAAACACTGTGTATAAATTTAAAGTCAATTGGATATTAACTTTAGCCTCTAGAGCGTCCACAAGCAATTGTAGATCGACTGACAGGGGGGGGGGGGGGGGGGGGGGGGGGGGACAATATACAACCACATTTTAATGTGGGCGTATAAAAACAAATCAGGATATTTATCAATATTTACCAATGAAGCATATAATGTTGAAAAGAATTTAAATAATCTTTTATGTGGCTGATGGTATTTTTTATCTGCGTTACACAACCACTGTAATGCTGATATGCTAAAATGAGAAAAATGAGAAATGCTTAGTTACAATTGCAGAACTATGGGTCCATTGTTTTAATATAGCTCTTTTAATAGCATGCTTAAGGCTATAATTTAATCACACTATGCTAGAATGTAATAATGTGACAAATGTCGGCCATTGTTCTTTTTAGTATTATAGTTAATTTATCATTTTACACAACATAACACTTAAACATACATTATGCAAGAGCTAAATCTGCCTACTGATGTTACCTAAATTATTAATTAGACTTTAAGTAAGGTATCCAGACCATAATCAACTCTCAATGTCAACGCTAGCCTGCAATGTTTACTGGATTAGGATACCATTTGCTGCTCCACTTTCATTCTTAATTTAATCATGAAATGGATAATCAAGGCCCTGTTTTTCATCATACTGACTTTAGTAATGATGATCGTGGCTAGGCCGAAAATTCAAACGATAAAATCTTGGTTCAGGGTAAATCAATTTGACTGAAATTTTCAGCAAATTCTCTTTATATTATCTAGTTTTTAACTATTACAGTGAGAACTGCCAGCTCTTTATCTAATCTCCCATAATGTATCTTTATCATATTTTGGAATTATTTTAGCTTGATAGTGTGGTTGGAAGTTGAACAGTTTAATATCTAAAAAGAAACTTGGTCATGTTTCGGGGCTTCAAAGTTCCAATAGTTTATCATCCCAAATTAAAATTTCAGAATTATTGTACCGACTTTAGTAATGATGATCGAGGCTAGGCCGAAAATTCTCTCTCTAAAATCATGGTTCGGAGTAGATCAATTTGACTGAAATTTTCAGCAAATTCCCTTTATATTATCTAGTTTTTAACTATTATAGTGAGAACTGCCAGCTCTTTATCTAATCTCCCATAATGTATCTTTAACATATTAAAGAAAAAATTTTGGAATTATTTTAGCTTGATAGTGTGGTTGGAAGTTGAACAGTTTAATATCTAAAAAGAAACTTGGTCATGATTCTGGGCTTCAAAGTTCCAATAGTGTACCATCCCAAATTAAAATCTCAGAATTACTGTAAGACAGAAAATCTGCATAAATTCATATTGAAATGAAATTAATTAGACCCCCACCCCAACATTTTACTCTTGTCTACATCAAGTTATTTCTTGTAATTTCAACATACTTTTGTCTACATTGAGTTGTCTCTTGTAATTTCAACATATAAAAATAGTAATGCATTATTTACCAGATGATGTAATCTAATCAAAACTGATTTATATTTTTTCTACTTAATAAAATAAAACAAATATGAAACAAAACTCATTGTGATGATGTGGTGAGCTGCTTTTGAGATCAAATACGACCCGTTTTTTATTCACAATGATTATTTAGCAGTTTCCTTTTAACTTAAAAAAATATAAAATTAAATTGCATGGTAAATATATTTTAATTTTTTTATGCCCTGTTGGAAAATATTTATTTAAATTAAGATAAATGACCAAATTTGTACATGTACCTAAAAACAAGTAACTCTTCCATTACCTAATATTAACTCCCCTTAGACCACAAGGTAAAATTGTCTGTATTAAATTATACTCCAACTGAACTGAAATTCTTTGGCTGTTTCTTAAACATTGAATAGAAATATTGTTATTGTAATCACTTTAAACTGATGAAAAAATTATATTATCACATCCTCTTTCTTCACAAAGGCAATATCAAGAAATAGTGTGTTTGAGATATGTATGGGTTTGTAATAGCTTAGAAATTATTTTTGAAATTCATACCTAATAACTCCATCAAATGTTCCTGGTCTGAATGGCATACCATATCCCATATCACCTAATATTAAATCTCCTTCTACTTCTCTATCCACAGCCACATCTAAAAAATAATTATATACACTTCAAAAGAAATATTTCAAAGAAAACGGACTGTAAAGTAACAGTGAACATTTCTTGTAATACTGTGCATGATATTTGAAGGCATTCAGTCGTAGGGAATGTATTTATTTATACTGTGTACAATTTGGAGGTTAAATCTAAGACATCACAATTTATTTGTTCTTTGTTTCAAGCTAATTGTATAGGACTATTTGATATTAGCTTTTTTCTTCCATTCAATATGGTATATCAATTACCAGAACTGTACATACTGAAGATTTATTACAAAGCAAAAAAAAAAAAGAATTCATTTATTCGTCTTGTTTTAATCACTTCCATAATTCAGTAAAGGTAAATTTAAAAGTTCACAAACCTAACATACTGGAACTAATATCAATACCAATCCACACATGTCCTTCTTCTGTTAAACATTCACCACTTAATCCTGAACCACATCTGCAAACAACATTTAATTTCCTTCAAACCACACTATAATATGATAAGTTTGTATTCTAATAATGGATATATGTAGTAGTATTCTCAATAATGAAAGCAGAATGTCCATGATAAGAATAGTTCATCGTGTTTAGACTTAGTGTATCTGCTTTATAACTTAATCATTCGTCAAAAGGAATGGCAGGCTTTCAACGTATTATCAGGCCTTGGTTATCATTCACACATCTTTCTTGTGCATTTTGTAGACAAATTATGCTATTTACTGAATCTTTCATAGTATCCAATGCCTGACAATATGGGGCCAAATATGGAAATAGTGTTCAAAGCACTGATTTTCATGCAGGGTCATTTGCACTTTAGTCATGTGGAGTCATGACGTAAGTTATGGAAAATAAGTTTATTAATACTATAGGGAGCATTTGGGATGGATATATTTTTTGTATGTAGGCTTATGTCAAATTTTGTAACCCAGTTCATGGGTAGTCAATAAAGGTAGATGTATAATCAACACTGTCATTGTAGTGTAATTGATGTATTCAGTAAATTACTATATAAAGATAATTTAGATTAGTAACAGTTATACTCTGAGTACAGTCAATATTTTGGGAATTTGGAGTTTGATTCACCACATCTGGATGTCTGATATGGCATATTTGCAGTCAGACTCTTGCCAGTGAAGTCATATACGATAAAACATAATCAGTGCTTCAATGCCCCACTAAATATATCCTTATTTCTTTCTAGTTCTACAATGTGTGTCAAGTAAAACTGAAAGCGGTAAATATAAAATACAGAACATACAAAGGAAAACATATGGTACTGTGGAGTAAATTCATACGAATAATCTTACCCAACATCTAATATAAAACACGGTTTATCTTCTGGTAAAGCTAATAATTCCAATGCTCTTTCTGACAATTGTTGTTGGATTTCCATCATGCGCGAGCTGAAACAGACAGATGAAAATACAATAGCAAAATTGTAAAATTATGGAAAATAGATGGATATGATATGTAAGTTAAATCACTTTAATGTGTTAGCAGTGCAGATAACTGAAAATTTTGAATTTTGCCGTCCACTGAAAGAAGTAAACTAGTTTTCAACTTTTGCGACGAGCCTTTGACTGTTAGTATGTTATAGATGTTACGTCGACAGAATATCAAAGAGTAAACATCTAACTTGTTGGATTAGAATAGAAGTGTTAGACGATAGCATGTTAGAATTTTGAATCTAATATACCGCCATAGTTATTACTAGTTCACGGCCGACTATCTTCACATGACCGCTGAGTAATAATCACCTTTTCTACCATGGTTGGTCTGGTAGACTATATCACCGGAATTCACTTATAAATATCAGAATTCACACTTAAGACCTTCCTATGTAATAGTTTGCATTAATAATAAATTACTTTTAAAACACCGGAATTCACTTTGAGAGAATCAGACTTCGCAATCAAAACAATTGTATTTAATTACATTTTGCATTAAATCCTCACAGTGAAAAAAGGTGTAAAATTGACATATTTACAACCCATTCAGGCTTTTTAGATTTTAAGATATTTCTACGTAACTTTTATAAACTTGTAGCTACATGTATTATCCATACGAAGAAAATGTCTGTTAAAATTATTTGTAATATGAGCAGTTACCGAGAAATGGGCATTTTTGCAGGAGTCCCTTTTTACGCTATTTTGCCTGTAAAAGAGTCAATTATTATTGGATTTTCATAGAAGTGACACAATTTGATGCCTAATGTCAATTTTGACTAGGTCAAACCAATTTAACATTTAAAATGTCACTGGAAATGACGTTGTTTAGGCAAAAACTGTATTTATAGCCTTCGAAACAAAACATTTATACATATCAGTCGTATTTGTTATTTGTTTAAAATTTTGATATTTGATTCCAGTCAACTAATAGAATAAAACCATACAATCATATAGATAACACAAAATGGTTTCTAACTTGTTCAGTTGTGGAGAAATAGGCGATTTTCAACAGGTCACTTTTCAAGGTTTTTGGTCCATAAAAGTGTCAATTATTATTCGATTTTCATAAAATTTTCATTGTGTGATACCTAATGTTATTTACGATTTCATACAAGTAAGTTAAGATTTTCATTATCACCGGAATTACCGTCATTTTGGCAAAAACTGTATTTTTAGCCTCTAAAACAAATACAAGTAAGCGATATTCATTATTTGTATAAAATTATGATATTTGATTCCTATGGATTGATATCACAAAATTGTTTCTAGCATCTTCCCTTGCCGAGAAATAACCAATTTTGTCAGGATCACTTTTTAAGATTTTTCGCATTTTAATTTCAGTTTATGGGTTCTGGGTTAATTATTTATTGCCTGATTTGTGTAAAAAAAAAGCCCATATGCTCTGTGGTGCAAATTCCCAACTTTCGTCTACCATTAAAAATTTCTGTCGACACCAGAAATAACGTAATTTTGCCCAAAACTTGAATTTTAGAAAGCAAATATTAATGTTTACAAATCTAATATATCAAGATGAATGCTCCTTCTTGGCCTAATGGCGCAAAATATGTCTTGCTTAGTGCTGGGTATTGCGACTGCAGTCACGATGCGATACGTATTGCGATTCATGTGCCACGATACGATACGTATCCGATTCATAACTAGGTCATCCATTTATTAATAAAACAACAAATTAAATATGTGATTGTGTTTTTAATGAAGCTTTAACTTCACCGCAGGTGAACTGGCCGTCTTCTTAATCTTAGCAGACGAACTTAGACAGTCGCCACTAAGGTGTCTTGTCAAGTGAGTGCTGAGATTGGTTGTATTACAACAATATTTTAGAATAGTTTTGCATATTCTACAAACAACTTTCGTTGTGTCACCTTTTAAAAACCCAAAGTTTTCCCAAACTTTAGATTTATTTTTCGCTGAAGGATTTGTTATTGCGACTGTGTGTTCCGCCATTTTGATTTTTACCACTACCAGAGTTCTAAATTTATAAAATTCGAGAGTAAAATGTCGTTTTATGTATTTAAATATGTATGTTTTATTAACTAAGCCTTATAACAAACTTTAAAATTCGGAAACAAAACGAAAAGGCGTTAAAATGTTGTTAATCTAAACGTACGAAACTAGCCTAACGGTAATTCCGGCCGTGCGCTATTTATAGTAACACACATGTCAAGACTACCTGGACATCGTTTGCGAAGATAAGATAAGAAAAGATTTTTATTGATACATCATAAACAGATAAAAACAACATCAATATGCATTGCACGTATATAAAATTGACATTTAATAATTAAGTGTCAATGTTTCAAATAAAGTTTAGGGTATAATTTAAAGTTTTTAAAGTTCATAATATATTTGAGAAAACGCCAACAAGAATCGTGAAAAATCGATTCGGCATCCCGCGATTCAATACAGTTTTTTTTTTATTTCCGTTTTGCATTTGCACCATTTGGATTAAAAGGTGAAAAAGGGTGTAAAAATGAGCTATTTACAATGCATTCAGGTTTTTCATATCTTAAAATATTTCTTGACAACTTTCATGAACCTGTAACATTAATCCATACGAAGAGAATGTATGTGAAATTTAATTTTGCATGCGTCACTTTTCACGTTATTTAGCCTGTGAACAAGTAAATTATCATTTGATTTTCAATATTCTTTTAGTACTTTTACCATTTGATGCCTAATGCCAATTTGTTATTTGTTTAAATTTATGATATTTGATTCCATTCAACAAATAGAATGAAACAATACGATCACACAGATACCACAAAATGATTTTTAACTTGTACGTTTGCAGAGAAATAAACGATTTTCATCAAGTCACTTTTCATGGTGTTTGGTCACCATATGTGATGTCTTATGCCATTTATGATTTCATAGAACTAATTTAACATTTTCATTATCACCGGAAGTACTGTCATTTTGGCAAAAACTGTATTATTAGCCTTCAAAACAAACATTTTTTTGAAGTGAGTTATATTTATTATTCGTTTAACATTATATTTGACTCCAATGGACATATAGATTGAATCAATACGATCATATTGATATAGATGTCCCAAAATCGCTTCTAGCATCTTCCCTTGTCTAGAAATATTCAATTTTGTCAGGATCATTTTTTAAGATTTTTTTTCGCATTTTAATTTCCCATTAGAAAGAGGGGGGTTGGATGGCCGAATGGTTAGCACATGTGTGCTGTATCATAGGACCTGTCATTGAGTCAACTGGCGTGGTTTCGAATCCCCGGTTGTACGTGACAAGGAGTAGAATCGCCTGTCCAGCCTCGTGGGTTTTCTCCAGGTCCATCGGTTTCCTCCCACTGCTAAAGACCCCTACGCGCAAGCGAATTATTGAAATAAAATTAAACCACATGTTAGTCCCGAAATGACCTAGTTTGTGTCGAGTGGACGTTAAACCCCATTTCTCTCTCTCTCCATTAGAAAGTCGGCTAACTTAGCGGTAAGTTAGTAACAAATTTTGTCAGGGTCACTGTTTTGAATGTAACACAGTGTAACAAATGTATAAATGGAATTGATATTGCTGGGTTTGATTGATTCTGTGTCCATTTTATAACACATCTGCAATGTTTATGTGAAAATCTGTTTCGCAGTTCCATTGGTACCGGAAGTGACATAAGTTACTGCATCGCAGTTCTAGTTCTATATTGATATTAATGCAAAATATAAGTAAATAGGAAGATCTTGCGGACGAATTCTGATATCTTCATAGTGAATTCTGGTGTATGTAAGTGAATTCCGGTGTTTAAAACTAAAAGTGAATTCCTATGAATTCCGGTGATTAGTCTACCCCTTTTACCCCAGATCATTCTCGTGCTCTGTATCTTGCCTGTAATCACTTTGCGACTTGTCATTTAAACATACATTATGCAAGAGCTAAATCTTGCAGGTCTTTCTTTAGGCCTGAAATGTTATCTAAATTGTTAATTAGACATTAATTAACCTATCCAGACCATAATCAATTCTAGATGGCATCGCTAGCCTGCGAACTTTAGTGGATTGTGAGCCAATTTACTGCGTAACTTTCCATCACAATTTAAGGATTAAATGGATAATCAATACTATGCTGTTTATCGTACTGACTTTAGTAATGATGATCACGGCTAGGCGGAAATTCATTCGCTTTGTTCTTGGTTCATAGTGGAGTGGATCAATTTGAATGAAATTTTCAGCAAATTGCCTTTTCTTTACATTATCTAGTTTTTAACTATTATAAATAGTCATAGTGAGAACTGCCAACTCGTTATCGAATCTCCCATAATGTATCTTTAACCTTTAAGGATGAACATTGAGCAAATTTTGACTGCATGGAGCACGTTTCATCAATCAAGGCAACAATACACGTGTTAGTACGGCTTAAAGAACCGAGAGGTTACGTGTGAACGAAACCTCGAGGCACCCTGGAGTAGCCTACTACCTAGTTCGTTAGAAAATGTCACCTACTTCGACGAGTATTTTCTTGCTTCATCGTCGTTATAGAACTGGAAAAAAATAAAGAAATTGGATAAAAGTAATGTACAGTCAGATATGTATTTTGGGTCATACAAATCAACAACAACTAGTTCAATAAATATATAACTTACAATTTCAGGCGGAGCTTGGTGCTCTGGTCTGCCGGAGGAAGCCATGCTGGGGATTAAAATTTTGGAACTCGGCTAAATTAAAACGAAATAGGCCTTGTATACTACAAACTTGAAAATATCCCCAAAAAAGACACAAAAGCGTAAACATTTATTCCGACAAGACACTTAACTTCAAGGAAGTTATATACATCAGTCCATTTATGTACATCTGAATGATTAAATTCATGCCAATACAATACCATTACGAAAAATATCAAATTTTAATTTCAAACACACCTTATTAGTTCAGCTCAACGAAACGGAAGTAGGAATCTGCTATTTAGAAGTCGCATTCTTGTTACGAGATTTCTTCAAATATCACGTTCTGTAACAACATGACTTAGTTGCAACTACAATCGTTAGCACAATGCCTGGATTGACTATATATAAACCACGTATAATATATCTGGACCGGCTTTGATTTACTAGACACATACGGCAAAGTAATACGACAACAGCGCATGCGTTGTAAAAAGCTTTCGACCACCCCATCCTTGACGTGAACTCATGGATAGAACAAAGTTTCGAATGTGAAATAGGCTAATGGCAAATGGTGACTTCCTTTAGACCGGATTGATTGACAGAAACAGTGTGCTCTGGACCTTCCTAAAAATGTCTTACGATTGGGGGTATAATTGTGTTACTTACTCTTGACTCCAAGATAAATGGCATGTTCTAATGTTGTCAAGATCTTCACCGAATCACTGTAGCCTAGTACAAACCACTTGTTCATATACGTGACATTTGTCAAAGTTTGTTGCAAACATGATACACGGTAAATGTACATTATATAACGATTTTGTGAATAAGCTTATGAAGATACAGTTATGGAATAAAATGGCCTTGCGACCAGTATTCCTGCCACTCTCTATTATTAGTAGCAAGCCTACCCAAAGTCATTTTTCAAGTTGTTTGATACACAATCGGAACAAAACGACCAAGACGGACACAAGTAAATGTATAGGTGAACGTGGTAATATGTTCAGTTCAAGGAGAAAGGCAAGTAAGATATATTACATTGGTGTCAAACATTACAGTAGTACTAGTAGCACCCGAAAACGTCATACTATAAGTTTATATGATGTGTTGGGTGTCACACCTAAAGCCACCCAAACCCAAATTAAAAGTGCCTACTATAAATTATCAAAAATTCACCACCCTGATACCAAAACGGATGGCGTGGAACATAAAATGTTCTTGGATATAAATGAAGCTTATGAAGTCCTTGGAAATATTAGAAAAAGAAGACTGTATGATAGAGGAGTTTTCAATCCACAACAACATGATGATGATAAAGATGACAGTCATTTCACTGAAACACAGCCATTTACACAAAGAGAGGGATTCAAAAAGAGAAGAAAACCCCCAACTGGACGTTCAAATGTTTACAATTTTGACGAATTTTATCGACAGCATTACCCAGAATTAATGCAACGGAAAAAAAAAGATATACTTCATGATATTAAGCAAAGAGAAGAAGAAAAATTAAGGATACGAGAAGAAAAGATAGGCAGTACAACTTGCTTACTTTTAGTACTATTTACTTTTGTAGTTTTCATATTAAGGTAAAAGGTAGGCTTTTATGTATGAAAGTAACAGATTTTGATTTATATAATTTATTTAATTTGTAGCCAGACTACCGGTACCGGGTACTGTTTTATGAAGTATTTGTTGGAATATATATGACCAAACAATTAATGTTGATACATCTGTGACATTTTTATCTCCCAAAGATCTCGGTTCGAAATTGACATGTATCGGATCGTAACGTCATTGAATATTACCCCTGATTTTACGAAAACTTGTGGACAGTCTAAAGGTCACAATTTTTATCCGATTTTGATGAAACTCGAAATGTATGATTATAACCCAAAGATCTTCGATATTTGCACATATCGGACAAAATGGCTGCACCTTGTACGCAAATAGTGTGAAAGTATGTAATACCAAGGTTGTGGACCATCTATTTTTATTCAATTTTTATGAAACTTAAAATGTATGCTTATAAAAAGATCTTGGTATCAGAACATAACTTCCTGAATTATGGCCCCTGATAGTACAAAAAATGACATTTTTTTTTTAGCTCGTTCTCTGTCCATCTCTTGCAAAATGTGGGCATATTTTACATGACAACTGCTGGTTGAGTGAATAAGATCTAATATCTGTTGATCTAATAATATTCTCAGTCCCTGATTGATTATATATGTCAGATATCTGACAATATCAGACAGTAAAACCTTGTAACTGTAGTTAACTGTTTTGTGAAATTTTAGATGACTAGTGTCAGAAAAAATTTATTGTCGGGCAGATTCTGAAATCCTTCTGGGAATTGACTATATTTTTTACAACTGTACACAGTGAGTGGGGATCATTTGCAATAGTTCATTAGAAGGACCCATATTAAATTTCAGAGTTGCATTTCAGTTTCATGGAGGTTAATGCCTCGGTCACTTAGACCATGTAAACAAAATAGAGGTTATGGATTTTGAGAATTCACCTAGTTGCCCTTCACTGAGCCTTTAGTTTTAAACAGAATTATAACTTTGAAATGCTTTTCAGGTAAAAAAAATTTGCAAATTTATTTCAAGTTGATATACCGTACTTATAATAACCAACACTCAAAATGTTGATGATGAACATATGTTTCCAAGCACACTATGTTTTACCATGTGTCCCCCAAACTGATTATTCTTTCTGGTGCTGCTGTGACAAAAATATTCAGAGGAAATATCAAGTTATTGACCATACTGTGAAAATCCCTACATTTGATTCAGGAAACATCAAACCTTGTGTTTCTATATAGTTTTCAAGTGAAAAGAATGTTGTTAGTTAGGATTGCTCATGAAATACATACATGTATGTATACAGATAGTGACATTATTTGATTGAAAGATTGTCATTTTATTATTATTATTATAAAGGAAAAGTAATCTTTCCATTGTTTTGAATAAATAAGTCACATACAGATAAAGAAAAACATTTTAATTATTTTTAAAATTTAATCAACACAATTTGGTTGGGTGGGTGGGTGGATGGATGGATGGATGGATGATATACTATACATGTCTGTTGTCTAGAGGGCTGATAAGATCTCCTACTTTCATTTTAATTATTTACATTAAAATTAAACTAAATATTATTATTTTCAAACTGATTATATGTAGAATAGAATTTATTCTTTTTTTATAATTGACTTCAAATTTACTGTATATTTAAAGTTGATGATTACAATCATTAAACAGTGCTGTGAATAAACTATGTAATATATATACCAGGTAATTAACCTTAAAGAAAACATAATAATAACCCCTGCCCCAAACAAAAAAAGTCAAACTATGCATTGGGTTCTGAAATGTAAGTCTATTGTTACTTAAACATACATTATGCAAGAGCTAAATCTGCCTATTGCAAGTCTTTCTTTAGGCCTGAAATGTTATCTAAATTATTAACTTATCCATACCATAATCAACTCTCAATGTTATCGCTAGCGTGCGATATTTATTGGATTAGGTTTCGATTAATTAACTTATCAAGACCATAATCAACTCTCAATGTCATCGCTAGCCTGCGATATTTATTGGATTAGGTTCCGATTTGCTGTTCGACTTCCATTCATGATTTAATCATGAAGTGGATAATCGACACTAAGTTTTTTTATGTACCGGCTTTAGTAATGATGATCGAGGCTGGGCCGAAAATTCAATCGCTAAATTCTCGGTTCATGGTGTTAACAAGGTTTTGTACATCAAGGGAAGCAACTCAACAGTTATTGTTGGAAATTGTTTAAATTCAGTAGGTGTTTGGATGAACAATCTATTAAAATTCTAACAATTATAATCCATTGAGATTTAACATCAGATTCATATACATGTACTAAGGGGTGTAACTCTGGGAGGGAGAGGGAGGAGGGATGGAGAAATGGGGTTTTACGGTCCACTCGACACAAACTAGGTCATTTTGGGACTAACATATGGTTTAATTTTATTTCAATAATTCACTTGCGCGTAGGGGTCTTTAGCAGTGGGAGGAAACCAGAGGACCTGGAGAAAACCCACGAGGTTGGACAGGCGACCCTACTCCTTGTCACGTTCAACCGGGGAGTCGTAACCAAGCCAGTTGACTCAATGACAGGCCTTATGATACAGCATGCACATGCTAACCATTCGGCCACCCAACCCCCCTGTAACTCTGGGAGTAATTGTCAAAAATAAATTGGTTTTCTTCCTTTAAATAAGGAGCCGTGAGTAAGATGTTGGCTTGCTAACCTGGAGGTCATGTGTTCTTTCCCTGCATTGGCCGAGAAATTTCATCAGGATTTCCTGGTGTGGTTCCCCCTTGTCAGTGGTGCAGGCAAGGGCATAAATGTGTGTGTGTGGGGGGGGGGTGCTGGGGTACCACCCAAGGGTCGCTAAATAAATGCAGCTGGTCGCAAAATAAGTGCTCAATGAATTAATGAGGTAAACAAACAATTGCAAAATAGAGAAGGAAAAATCCCAAATTTTAGGTATTTGCGCAATCCGATTAAAATACAGATCTATATTTCGTTTCGTTTTTTTATACTTTCGATGGCATACACTACATGAAGATCTGACATGTTATAGCAATAGGTCACGTCAGGGGTCAAAAGACCGACTTTTGACCTATGATGTCAGACATTTGATTAACAAATCAGCATTGATGTTACTAGTGGACTACCCACAGTTCCGGGCAAAAAAGGTCAAACACTCGCTTTGACAGACCATTTGATTGGCTGACCCCTCATTTCAAGCGGAACACGAGTTAAATAACAAGTCTTCCAGATCCAAGTGTAGTGAACTATAAAAACGAAACGAAATAGGATCTGTGTTTTAACCAGATTGGTATTTGCGTGAATCCATGCACCTAAATTGCATATGTGTGACGCTACTCACCCAAAACTTTAATAATCTAAGAAAAAAATCCCCCTCCCCCCCGAGAAAGATTGTCGGTGACTGACGAAATGAATTAATGAGGTAAATAAACAATACCAGAATAGAAGGGGAAAATCTCAAATGCTTAATATACGTGCACCTAAGTTTCTTACGTCACATAGACGGTCCCAAAA